TCATTGAAATAAAAAAAATCTAAACGAAAGCTAACTCTTCCCTGTAAACTCAAAAAAAAAAAAAAAAATACAATCCCTCCAAAACAAAACAGGTAGTCAAACGGACCTGAAATGGATTCCTCCGCCAATCCGCCGGCCACTGGTTTTTTTTAGCCTTTGATTAAGAAAATATTTACAAACTTGCCGAGTCAAGATTTAGATTGTGTTGGTTGAGTGATGCACTAAATTCTTTTATTTATGGTTTTGCTAAATTAAAATACCTTGTAATGAAAACTATATTTATTATATATTTTTATTTACGATATATAATATTTTATTCAAATGCGGCCCAGTGCCCTAATATGTCCTGGATCCGCCGTTGGGAACAGAAGACCTCTTTGTCATGGAAAACTCAGATATTATGTATGGATCTTAACCATTTCATTACACGCCCTCTCAAAGTGAATCTTTACTTGCATGAATACTAGACAAAGTTAGGAAAAAATCCCAAAATACACATGTTTTTTAAAAAAATTCTCAAAATACACACGTTATAAAAAAATCCCAATCTACACATGTTTGGGCATTCACCACGGCCGACCAAAACTGTTAATGCATCACCGCGGCTGACTAAAGCGGTGAATGCATCACCGCGGCCGACCAAAGCGGTGAATGCCTAATTTGCATTGAAAATTACAATAAAAAACGTAACTTTGCGCTCGGTTATCCGATTGTAGCAAATTTTTTTGATTCCACATAAGTTTTTGAGATCTTGCAAGAGAAAAACATCCATAGACGGTTTGGTCCCTCGTTCGTCCAGAAAAAAACGTTATTTGCTACCTCGAACGAGCAATTTTCGATTTTGCCAAACTTTGACCGACCATAACTTTGTGCTCCGAAATCCGAACTTTATGCTTTTTCTTTTATTTCACATAAATTTTTATGGAGTACAACTTTTATCATAGCCATAATTTCGGAATGTATGTGAATTTTTGAAAAGTAAAGGCAAAGTTATTCCCAAAATCCCGTTTATTCAAAAATACTTCCTGTTTTGAAAATGCCTTTCCTTGTAAAAGCTGTAGCACTTGAAAAGTTATGCGAAATAAAAAAAAACATGACTTTTGGAGTGCGGAGCACAAAGTTATGGGCGGTCAAAGTTTGGCTAAATCGAAAAATTGCTCGTTCGGGGTAGGAAACAAAGTTTTTTCTAAACGAATGCGGGGCCAAACCGCCTATGGTTGTTTGCGGCTTGCAAGATCTCAAAAAATTATGCAAATAAAAGAAATCGCTACAATCGGATAACTGACTTCATTTGAATTTTCAACGTAAATTAGACATTCAACGGTTTGGTCGGCCGCGATGATGCATTCACCGCATTGGTAGAGTATTTGTTAGATTGAGTCTAGGAGTATATTTATTTCTAACAATGTTTAAATCACAAACCACTAGGCATTCAAATACTTAATTTGACGTAATAAGTTTCAGAACGCATTCGCCTCCAAGTAATGTTAGCTCATGCAAAAGTTTAATAAGTATGACCATTTCGACCAACATCTTAACCAAAAACTTGTAATGCAACCTCCTAAAGTCCATCTCGATCAATATTTGTGACCATCAACCATTAGTTGACAGTTCTGGTTAAACATTTTCTTTGAAATCACATAAAAAATAACTCTCTTTCCTTCACAAGTTCACCTTTAGCTTTGATTCAAGCTTGATGTTGATAGGTTCTGAGCCATATTCTGAGCAATATGGTTTTACTACCAGGAGCCATGTATGTTGGTAGACAAATGAAAATTTGGCCTAAAATATGCAGCAGAAAATGGCCTCACATCACATGGTATAACAACAACAACTGTGAAGGATTATCTGCAGAATTTTATTACTCTCTTTCTCTCCACTGTGGTTCATGGCCCAGCATTTGAAGGCCCATTCATCGACAAGCAACACAAAAGGTGGCGTTGTTTGGGCCATCCACAAGCTTTTGACTTGTCTTCTCCTCTTGTCAAACATGTTCATTTGATTCAGTTTGGTGAGATCCAAATGTTTTTTGGATAAATTTATTTTTTGTCATAATTCATAAAATTTATGAAATTAAGGACCGAATCATATTATATTTGGTTCGGTAAGTTCAAGTTTCAGCTTGATCCGATGTGGTCCTGTACGGGCCAAACTGTTGCACACCCCTACAGATACCACATGTCACTATACATGTTATTTGTTATATTGTATTTGTACGAAATATCAAGTTTGGATGGATTGTAAGTAGTGGTATTGTTGATATGATATTTACACTCAAATTTCTTATTTACCAATTTGCCTTGTCTAACCCAACTCTTTCTCGCTTGGTCGGCGCGTGTGCATGCTTATCAATATGAATACGTTAATGATATTAACATGGGAAAAGTTTTATGCGTCACTTCAATATAATACTGTGTTCAAGAGATTCAAATCAGTTATAGAATAATAAAAATGTTAAATTTAAGGTAATAGTTTGCCAAAACATATTGAGTCTTAGTGTTAGGCATAATTAAGGTAAGAGTACCGTAATTTAAAGTGTCTGGTTTGATTTTTTTTTTATTTTTATTATTCACCTTGTCTTAGGGGGAATTTTACAATGCTTTATAGGATCAGTCCTTAGATTTACAAAAAAAAAAAAAAAAAATTATGGTACAAGCTGAACTTGTATCTGTAACTTAATGATACAATTCAGTTTGTAACTACACATTTTTTGTACAAATTTCTTTGTGCTAACTTTTTTTTTATAAATTTTTTATGTTATAAACTAATTTGATACCCTTAACGTTATGATACAAGTTCAACTTATACCTTGAACCATCATTAATACTTTAAATAGCATTAGAACATCTCTTTCCTTAGCTGTAACTTGCAGCAGTATGTATTATTCTCTATATGGAAAATAAACGCAATAAACAAAGAGATATATTGCATATAAAATAGTGTATTGAGAGAGATGACCCAAAAAATAATCCTATGAAATTGCTGCGAGGGGTGGCTCTAAATTGTGTTTCAAAAGACCAAACAGCCGAAACTCCTCTCTATTGTTGTAAGCTGGCCCTTTTCCATGAGCCCAAAATTTTATTCATTTTAAAAAGGGATTTGGTCATATTTTGGTCTTGAAGCCACACAACAAGTAATAATATATAAACAAATTAGGAGTAAATGGAAAAAAGAAGCTTCTCTCTCTACCTTTCCCTTTTAAAATTTGCTCTGCCTTCTCTCTTCTTTCAGCTTTTTTTTTTTTTTTTTTTTCTGATTACGGGGGCTGTCGCCGGCTCCTTTTAGGTGACCGACGATAGCCCAAAGCTTTTTATTTTCCTGCTTTTGTTTTCTTATCATGCTTTGGTGCTCTTGCCTATGTCCTGGGCAGTTTTCAATCGGATTTCCAGCCGTTCTGCCTTTCAGTTTTTTCCTTTCCAGTCGAGCTATGGCTCTTCTTTCAGTTCTTGGTTCTTGGACTTGCTCGTCGTAGGAGCTGGAGTCTGCAACTTGGGAGCCTCTTCCAGATCTGGATGGTGGGGTTGTCCCCCGTTGGTGGCCTCATCTTCAAGGTGAAACCATTCCCTTCTTTCCCTCTCCGACCTCCCTAGGTGTCTGAGTGGCTTGGTGAGCTGTCGGATGGTGGTAGGTTGGGTCTTTTCCGGTGGTTGCGGTTGGGATTCGGTGTTTTCTTGGAGGTTTGTGGCTACCTTGGGAGCTTCTGCTCTTCTTCGAACCTGATCTCTCTGCCTCGGCCTCCTCTGCCTCTTCAGCTTGGAGCAATCTGGTTATATCCTCTTCCACCGCCATGCAGTCTAGTTTCTAGATTCACTGTGATGGATGCCTTTGAGTTTTCCCCAGGAGGCGGCACATGGAGTGATGATGTTCAACTACCATGGATTTTGATATGATCGGACAAGCTATTTGTGGTTTTGTTGCACTTTGATTGGTTGTTTGCAAGAGAGTTTCTTGATGATCTGTTTTCGATCAAGGGTTTTGCTCTTTCCGGGTGGTTGCTTGCAGACTGTGTTTTGTTCTCTGTTGCTGCATTTTGTCTTACGTAGCTTTGTTTGTAACCGGATGCCTTTGGGCTTCCTCTTGTTGGAACCAGATTGTTGGTTCGGTTCCCCCTCTTTGTAAGTGATAAGTTTGAAGTGCAATAAAATCTCCTTTCTAAAAAAAAATAGAGTAAATGCCAAATTAGGGTTTTATTATCAGGGTTTTTATTATCAGGTCCATCAAATGCTGATAATAATTGCAGCCCGCCCGCCCTCGCCGTCGTCATCATCCTAGCTCCATGTGGATTGGATTGACAGGCGCGCGTAAGGACACGATTTTCGCGGCAACTTGACTTCGTGTGTGGTTTCATTCATGTATGGTCCATTTTGAACTTTGGAATTGCTATCAAATCAGCCACTTGAACTTTGAATGTTATTGAAATTAAATTCTCTCATCAAAGTAGAATTCAGTGAGGAAATCATGATTTAGTATGATATGCCGACACAAATAAAAATATAATAGTTTTTTTATAGATTCAAAATAGGGTATTTGGAGAAGCTTGGATGAGCTAAAAGTGCCTAAAACATAGAACTACGCATTTAGAAAAAAACAAGACATGTTAGTTCTCGATCCAAGAATCTAGCTATTTTCTTAAAAAGCATAACACAAGATGGATCTAGCCGTGGTTATTTCAATAATCTCTAAACCTAGTGACACATTTGTTATATATAATTTTTTTCATAATTGAGTGAATTGCTATGAATTAGTTAAATTAAGCAGCTGAAAAAGTGCATAGACAAAAAAAGGATAAAAGAAAACCACATGCAACAAATATCTCGATCAATAAAATCAAATCCTTACTGTTAAACGGTAACTAGTATATCAGGAGATGCGACTATAAACTTTCCTAATCTCTTTGTGTTAAAAATTTTACTATGTGCCACCAAACATGTTATAAACAGAAAACTAATTTCTAGTTTTTTTTTTATACAAATTCTTTAATTTCGTTCCAACCATATAGTCCAAAATAACCCATATAACATGGACATTTTAAACACTAAGTGAAGTGAGCACAGAAAAGTGAACCAGCAACGAGCAACCCTCTTAATTAAGGTAACATCAGCTTGCCTACATTACCAATCAGCCATTCAAGGATTTTGTTCAAATACAAAAATTCAGTGACAAGAATGTTAGTGACTAAATATTTAAGTGACCTAGAGTGAAATTCGCCAAATTTCGTTAAAAATAGAGCGTGTTTAGTTTTTCCTTTTCTTTTTTCCTTGGTTTTTTCTTTTAAAGATTTGATTCGTCAAAAGTGTTTGGCTGGTTGGCTGCTGAGTGAAAATCTCAAGTGTGAAATTACTAAAGAAAAGGAATTTTCTTGGTTTGCAGGCTAATTTTGGCAGAGACCCTTCTCCAGTTCTCCACCATCCAATCGCCTCTGCGCAAAAAGAAGAAAGAAAGAAAGAAAAAATTCTCATATAGAATCTCCACTTCTTGCTGCGCAACGAACTCTCAAGTCCCCAACAGAAACAGAAAAAAGAAAAAAAAAAAAAAAAGAGTCTGTTCTTCCTCCGTCTTTCCCCTCTGCTCTTTCTTTCTGTTTTGGGTTTTGGGGCTAACTTCTATTTTGTTGGTTTTCCTGAAATGAAAGCTTCACACTTTCCCTCGCTCTGAAACGAACCAACATCGCCATTTCTTTTCCCGCTCCGGTTCTGGGTTCATCGATCGCCTCAGTCTTGGTTCGTCAACTCTCTCTCTCTGTTTATCTGTGTTTCGTTCGCGGATGTTTACCTGTTTATTTTTCTTGTTACCTGTCCTGAATTGAAGTGAATTCAACGGCTTGGCAAAAATAATTGAGCTCGGCCTGGAAAATCATTTGCCCTGTTTCATTCAACTGTACATTGCATACGTATATCTGAGTAGATTCCTGAACTGGGTTTTTGCCAGAAACTCTGATTCGTATGTAATTGGAAATCATTGATATGGTGGTTTTACCAGTGAAGGCTTCTATTTGCCAGTGATAATGCTTTATCTTATCTTATCGTTGTCTTATCTTATCCTCTCTTTGGAACCTGAGAACTCGGATATATGGGTACATCAATGAAGAGTGGAATTCGCCTAAGCAGTTAGTTAGTAGGTTGATTGATCTATCCAGGATTTGCATTTTCTCTTCCTCCTTGTACCCATCTTTGAGATCTATTGTAGTTTCCCTATTTATAGATTAACTTCATATTGTCCATGAGGTCAATGCTATTATGAGAGAAAGAGAGATTCTAATTTCCAATCACTTTCTATGGCTTTATATCACAAACTCTGGCTGATCTGCATGGAGAAGTATGTCTGAGCTTTTTTCTTTTGGGTCATTTTCTCCTGCAGGCTTTAATGGACAAAGTCATGGTATTAGATTGTCATCATTCTCAATACTGCTTCTTGTATTACTTGATATGACTATAAGTTGCGAAAGAGTTCTCATTTAACTTGCCGCTAATGAATGCTCTTGCACTGATTTTTTTCTTGTCCTGCAGTCCTTAATAATGCGAGGATCAAGCGGTATACACACTGAAGGAGAACTGAAGGTAAGCTTTGGCTACCAATGCAATGGCAATGGCTATGAAACCCAAAATCCAGAACCTATCCTCCAAAGGAACAGCAGCTTCTCTTGTCTGTCAGGTGCTGCCTTAAGTGCTAATACCACATTGGCCAACACAAACATGTGCAATGGTCTCATAGGTGCAGAGATTCTCCCCAGTTGGGACTCCCCTACTTCCTTCCGAAGGATCCCCTCGTCTTCATCCACTTCCAAGCTCGACATACTGTCGTCTTCTCTCCAAAGCACTGGGTCATACTTGAGCTGCAGCCCATCTTCTCCAAGCCAACTTGACTATGAATCCTTGAGTTCACCTTCGAAATGTGAAGGATTTCTCAACACCATGGAAGTTCAAGTGGCTGGTGGAGCTGCTGGTGAAGACAGAGTTCAAGCTGTTTGTTCTGAAGAAAATGGGTGGCTCTTCTGTGCTATCTATGATGGATTCAATGGAAGGGATGCTGCTGATTTTCTGGCCGGAACATTGTATGAAACTATCATATTTCATACTAACTGGCTGGACTGGGATTCAAATCAAGATGTTGTCAAGGCTCCAAATGTATGCCCTAATGATTTCCTTCAGTGTGGCATTGAAGAGGGGAACGATACTTCTCATGGAACTCAGGATAACCATGATTCGGGAGATTCCTTCAGGCACAAGGTACTCGATAGCTTACAACGTGCGGTTGCCAAGGCTGAGAATGATTTCCTGTACATGGTAGAGCATGAAATGGAGGATAGACCAGATCTCGTCTCGGTGGGTTCTTGTGTGTTGGTTGTTCTTCTTCATGGGAAGGATTTGTATACCTTGAACTTAGGTGATAGCAGAGCTGTATTGGCCACATATGATGAAGGCCATAATAAGCGACTAAAGGCGATCCAGCTGAGTGATTCCCACACTGTGGATAATGACCTCGAGAGAGCTCGGGTTCTTAGTGAGCATCCTGATGACCCTGCAACTATTGTTGGAGGCAAAGTAAAGGGCAAACTGAAGGTCACTCGAGCTTTTGGAGTTGGTTACTTGAAAACGGTTTGTTCTTTCAATTCCAGCACCAAAGTTTTTCTTTTAACAATGCTCTAGAGCGTTAACAGATTGGTTAACTTTCTCTTTCCTCTCAATTGTGCAGAAGAAGCTGAATGATGCTCTGATGGGTATCCTCCGTGTCAGAAACCTAGTAAGCCCGCCGTATGTCTCTACTGAACCATCTTTGAATGTGCACAGAATATCAAAATCGGATCACTTTGTCATAGTAGCAAGCGATGGCCTTTTCGATTTCTTCACCAATGAGGAGGCCGTGGAGCTTGTCCATTCCTTTATGGTGAGCAACCCTTCTGGTGATCCTGCAAAGTTTGTGTTAGAACAGCTAGTCAAGAGAGCTGCTGCATGTGCAGGTAATAAGAATTCTCACTATACCTCTTTCCATTACTTCCATTTTCTTTTTACCCATTTCGGTTTATGAATTCGAATATTTTCCCCATCTACAGGATTTAGCATGGAGGAACTGATGAACATCCCAGCTGGTAGGAGGAGGAAATACCATGATGATGTCACTGTGATTGTGGTCATCCTTGGAACAAACCAGAGAACCTTGAAGGCCTCAACATTTGTATGAGAGGCTTCTGTTGTTCCTTTATGATATCCTGTACATGTTTTAAGGTTTTGACAATCAAAAGCCTCCCAAGATTAGTCTTCTGTAAATAAGTAGGGCAACCTTTCTTGCAGGGTTTTTTATTTTTTTTCTTTCTCTATGAATGTTTCTTTGGAATAAGAGACTCAGGAAACCCCATTTTTGATCTTTTTGGATGGGAAGAAGTTTTACAGAATTCCCACCTTGTGAATTGTTGGAAGCCTAGAAGGCTATTGCTTTAGGGTTGCTTTTTTGGCCTTTCGGTTTGGTTGATCTTTTATTTGACTGGTTTTCCATTAGCTCTAAGCAGCATCATGAATAGCCGCTTTTTACTCATTATTGAGAATCTTTGCCCTATCATCCATGGCCAGCCATTGTGGAAACCTAAAACTATCTGCAACCCTTGTTTGAAATAGGACATTGCCAGAAAGTATGTTTATTGTGTTCTCTTTTTCTAGGAGCCATTGTCAATGGGTTCATTCTGGCTTTAGATTCTTTTTCCTTTTTGGTAGAAAGACAGGATGCCTAATTCATTGATCACAATTTGCAGAGGGGCAGATGATAGCTCCTTTTAGCTAGACAATCTGCTTAAGTTTTCCCTCTTACATGTACAAAAATGATTCCTACTTTCCATGATTTCTATTAATTTTCTATCATATATATTGAATTGAAGCTTAGTTGTTCAGTAGTGCTTTTTTATCTTTTATCTTCATTTATCTAACTTTGTTGGTATTATGGATAGATTAGACAAGATGTCAATTAAAGAACAACGTGGATGTTTGGACTTACATGATGGGTTATGGTAGTGACATTATCCTTATCCATTTTACTATACTTAAAACTTGCAAGGTTTGATGAAAGTGTATTGCAAATTTGCAATAGTGTTAAGGGTAGGAATCGTAATGGGAGGGTATCTTAATACTCATACACTTTAAGGATAAGTTTGGTTTAGATAGGTTATTATGAAACAAGATATTGATTGAGACATGTTTATTTATTTTCGGTTTAGATTGGCAATTTTGAAATGAGGTATTGGTTGAGACATGTTGATTTGTTTAAATATATGACTCAACAAAATGCACAACAAGTCAGTTGTTTCATTAATAAATCGAGAAACAACAGTTGTGATACAAGAATTGAGAAGGTGGCATGATCGATTGAAATTGTTTGAGAGACGAAGAGTCGAAGACCATCAATTTATGGTAACTGCATTAGGTTGAAGTATGACACGATAACACTTCAACTACATCTAGTTTGACTAGATTTTATGTTGAAGCTAGAGAAAATTCTCAATAACAAGATGGGTCGGTTAGGAGAGGGGTGTGCAACGGTTCGATCTAGTCTTGAACCAGGCTTTACGAGGAGTAAGTATGGTACCAACACTTCCGCATTTAGCATAATAGTTAAATTTGTGTTCTTTAGTAATGATATCTTACCTTATCCTCTAGAAGGCATGAGAAATCATAAACCTGCTATAAAACCGAAATGAATAGCGCCTAGACTAGTAGAACCATCAAACCAGTTACAATAGTGGTACGGTTCATTTGATTGGACAGTTAGAGATAGACTGAACGATTTTTAACGGTTTGACATTATAAACCAGATGAACCAGCCTGGTTTGACAAGTCCACTGGTTCACTACTTTAATCGTAATTGTTAAGAAAAAAATATAATTTAAGGTAAACTAAAACCATCCAAAGAGCAAACTAAATTACTAATTTTTTCTAATTTATTTTCTTCGCGAGCCTCTTTGTCGAGTTTATGTGGTCCACTATGAATTGTCACCCTAATTACTAACTTGAATTTAGTAAAAACAGACTCTCAACGAGTGTCGCCTCATGTTATAACTTTTGATGATGGATGATATCCATTTGAAATTCTTTGTAATTAGTGACAAATACAGTCCTAAACTAGTGTGTTATTTATGTTATAGTGAATGAGAGACTCTATAACCAATGATTCTATACCTATTAACCATTAAATCATAATTTACTAACTTTTTCTGATTCCCCATGTCATATGATTCTGAAAAAACAACATAAACCAAGTAAGCCATTAAAAATTTGAAATGGGCAATTGGGTTCACAATTTTGGCCATCATACAAGCACAAAAGTTCTCCATCTTCTTCACCAAGAACACATCCATAAAATCCCAAAAAGTTACATCTAAACGACTAAACCCTAAAAAGGCCCCCGCCCCCAAAATCCCATTTGGCCACGGATTGCAGAACCTTAGACTTATATAACAAAGCATCCATTAACATTTTCGTCACTAAAAAGCTGCAGAGAAGAGTCCAACCCCGGCGACGGCGGCGGCAACTGGTTTGGATTTCCAAATGGATACGCTTGCTGCTGAGCATAGAAAAAGAAAGGATTTGGGTGGGTGGCATTCACAGTAGCTGTTGTGATCCCTAGGGACATGGTTTATTATTATAGGGATCACTTTGTAATTTGTCATTTTATTTTTCCTCCCAACTCCAGCTGAACGTGTAGAGGAGTAGGGTTCTGTTCTCTTGTGTACAAATAGGGTACTAGCTGCTGCGGCTAACCCTAAGAACCAGAAAACAAAAATAAGAAATCTCTGAGAGCTTGAAGCTCTCCGTGGACTAGTCTCGCTCATGTTGAGCGGGGAAACCACGTAAATCTTGGTCTCGTGTTTTTATTCTTTCCGCATTCGTCGTATTTTACATGGTATCAGAGCTGTGAGTAGATCCACAGCGGTTAATCATGAGCTCAGACGATGAAGCCAGCAAGTCTACCCAGACCGGTAAGAGCCCTCAATCATCGACGGCTGCGGGACTTAATTCGCAGGTTATGATGCCGTCGCACCTTCTCCTTCACCCATCGGACAGCCCGAGTAACCTCTTTGTCGGTGAGCTGCTTTCTGATGCTAATTACGGAGAATGGGTCGTGGATATTACCGACTCGCTCATCGCCAAGAACAAGATATGTTTCGTGGATGGGACCTTACCTCCTGCCAATTCTCCGGCCGAAAAGGAGGCTCTTCTTCGTTGCAACGCCATGGTAAAGGGGTGGCTGAAGACATCGATGACCAAAGAGGTTCGGAGTAGCGTCCGTTTTGCGTCAACTGCGCGTGAAATTTGGATTGATCTCCAATCCTGATTTGGCCAAGGCAGCGCCGCCAGGCTCTATGAGCTCAAGAGCATGATCGTTCGTCTGCAGCAAGAGAAGGCTTCGGTCTCTTCTTTCTACACCAAGTTGAGGGGTTTGTGGGATGAGATACAGTCCCTCACTCCCTCGGTGTCTTGCACTTGTTCAGGTTGTACCTGTGATGCCCAGCGGCGACAAAGAGACGTTCGCGACGGCGAGCAATTGTTTGATTTCTTGATGGGCTTAGATGACGTGTTCTCTACCGTCAAATCCCAAATATTGGCCATGCGGCCATCTCCCACCTTAGCTGAAGCATATCAGCTCGTTTCCCATGATGAGAAGCAACGTATGATCTCGTCCAATAGGCGTCTGCGTCCCGAGGCTGCCGTTTTCCAAGCTCATGGCGAAAAGAAGTTGGATCGGCCTTCCCTGCTTGCTGAATCCGACCGCGACAAGGATCGGGATGCTGACGGGAAGCCCAAGTGCACTCATTGCAAGCGTACAGGCCATTTTCGGGAGACTTGTTACCGGCTGATCGGATTTCCTCCCAAGAATAGTGACAAGGGAGAGTCAACTCGCCGGCGTGCTGATCGGGGAGCTCGTTCCTCGCCCCAGGCTGCTCAAGTTGATACCGCCGACAGCCCCTTGCCTGGCCTTTCAGCTCGTCAATTTGATCAACTCAAGGCTCTCCTCGCTGGTGACCTATTACACCATTCTCAAGGCTCGGCCGAACCATCATCCAACATGGCAGGTACGTATTCTCTTAATTCTACATCTTGGGTTATCGATTCGGGTTGTAACGAACACATCGTTAACCATGCCTCTTTATTGGATTCGGAGTTGGACTCGAATCCGGCTCTTCAGGTCAAAATACCCAATGGTACAGGTGTCTCTGTTAGCAGTATTGGGACGGCTAAATTGTCTGATGATCTATTATTGCGTCGTGTGCTTCACGTTCCTGATTTTCAATGCAACTTATTATCGGTCAGTCGGTTGACAGCTGATTTGCCGGTTGCGTTAATCTTTATGGGTGACTTATGTGTGATTCAGGACCTACCGTCCAAGAGGCTGATTGGGATGGGTAAGCACGTCGATGGGCTGTACTTCCTGAGATTGTTCGCACCCGAGCACCCGATTGCACACACAGTTCGTCGATCTCTGGATAGCACTGATTTGTGGCACTCTCGTCTAGACCATTCATCCGCTGCTAAGCTGCATGCTTTGGAGACTTTACTACATTGTTCTTTCGTTCATAATAAAGAGCCCTGTCGATCTTGTTTACAGGCCAAGCAAACTCGCAATTCTTTTGAGACTAGCACCATTAAGACTAAGTCGATTTTTGAGCTTATCCACATTGATATTTGGGGGAGTTATAAGACGGCATCTATTTCAGGAGCACATTATTTTTTAACAATTGTGGACGATTTTAGTCGTGCTGTGTGGGTCTTCTTGTTACGTTTTAATCGGATGTCGCTCGACACTTAATCTATTTTTGCAACATGGTGCGGACGCAGTTTGGTGCTCAGGTGCGGCGAATCCAGGCTGATAATGGCGCTGAATTTTCTTGTCATGAACTCACCTCTTATTATGAACAGGAAGGCATCGTTCTACAAACTTCCTGTACAGACACTCCTCAGCAGAACGGCGTGGTCGAGCGCAAACATCGCCACTTATTAGATACAGCGCGTGCACTACGGTTTCATGCGAATCTGCCGATTAAATTTTGGGGTGAGTGTGTCTTAACAGCAGCGTACCTCATAAATCGTCTTCCACTCGTCTCCATTGAGAATCAGTCTCCTTTTCAAGTATTATTTGGGAAAGAACCGGCTTATGATCATCTTCGCAGCTTTGGGTGTCTGGTTTATGCTCGAGATAATCATCATGGCCTTCATAAATTTGGTGCTCGTGGTCGAGCGGGTATATTTTTGGGGTATCCGGCTACACAACGGGATTATCGTGTTTATGACCTTGAGACTAAACATGTGTATACTTCGCGTGACGTGAAGTTTCTTGAGCGTGTTTATCCCTATCGGGATCTTGCTGAAAATGATCTCACTCCTGTTACTGCTTCTATTCCAGCGCCTTCTTCACTTGCAGGTCCTATTGAGATTGAGGATGATCAACTTGAATTGGGGGATTCTTCTTGTTCACTAGAGCAGCCCACGTCCCCAGCTGCCTCCCTTCCCCATGCAACGTCGCCACATGCAGGGGCTTCCCCCTCATCTCCACGTGCTGCACCTGCTGCGGAGTCTCTCCTGCCTCACTCTCCCTCGACCAGCTCCCCATTACCCTTCACCAGTCCCGATGCTGCGAACCTCACTCCTGCCGCTGCCCCTCCAGTACTTCGTCGCGGTGATCGGGTAAGAATGCCTTCTGTTCGCTTGCGTGACTATGAGACTCAGCTGCCTGGCGCTGCACACACTGCCGTTGTTCGATTCCCTCTCGAAGATTATGTCTCTTATCACCGTTTATCCACCGCGCATCATGCTTTCGTTGCTGCTGTTAGTGCTACCTATGAGCCTACCTACTTTCATCAGGCTGTGCGCTTCAAACATTGGCGCGATGCAATGGTGCGCGAGTTCCTTGCTTTGGTTGATAATGGGACTTGGTCTATTGTTCCCTTGCCTCCTGGGAAGAAATGCATTGCTTGCAAATGGGTGTTTAAGGTGAAGTTTTTCCCAGATGGTTCTGTTGAGCGTTATAAGGCTCGCTTGGTTGCTAAAGGATTTACACAGGTGGAGGGAGTGGATTTTCATGACACCTTTGCTCCTGTTGCCAAATTAGTCACTGTTCGTTGCTTGTTGGCAGTAGCAGTAACTCGTGGCTGGCATATTCACCAGCTTGATGTCAATAATGCTTTCCTGCACGGTGATCTCGAGGAAGAAGTGTATATGGCCATTCCGCAAGGGTTTGCTCGCCCTGGCGAAACAAGAGTTTGCCGCCTCCATAAATCCATTTATGGTCTTCGTCAGGCATCTCGAAATTGGTATCAGAAGTTCACTCAGGCGCTTCTTGAGCTTGGTTTTACCCCCAGCCGCGCCGATCATGCTTTGTTCACCTATCGCCGAGGCACTACTTTTGTTACAGCTCTTATCTATGTTGACGACGTGATTCTTGCTGGTACCGATTTGGAGTTTATCACTCGGGTGAAGGCTTTTCTTCACGATCGTTTTACCATCAAGGACCTTGGTCCTCTTAAGTATTTTTTGGGCATTGAGGTTGCGCGTTCTCCTCGGGGCGTTGTTCTCAACCAGCGCAAGTATGTTTTGGACATTTTGGCTGATACTGGTTTGACGGCTGTTAAGCCTTGCTCTACTCCGATCGAACAGCAACATCAGTTGGGTCGGTCACCTTCCCCCTCGGCGGCTGATCCTGGTGCCTATCGTCGTCTCGTAGGCCGTTTGTTGTATCTCACGGTCACTCGTCCGGATATCACATATGCGGTTAATCTCCTCAGCCAGGCCATGCAGTCGCCTACTCAAGCTCATGAGCTTGCTGCCATTCGTGTTCTCCGCTATTTGAAGTCTTCACCGGGTCGCGGTCTCTTTTTCTCCACTGCCTCTCCTCTTACCCTTACGGCTTATTGTGATGCTGATTGGGGTGGTTGTCCGCTTACTCGCCGCTCCAACACTGGTTACTTCATCATGCTTGGCACTTCACTTGTTTCCTGGCGAACAAAGAAACAGACTGTTGTTGCCCGGTCTTCTGCTGAAGCTGAATACCGTGCCATGGCTAGCACGGTTAGTGAGGTGCTGTGGCTCCGATGGTTGCTCCGGGACTTGGGGGTCTCCTTGCCTGGCCCTACTACGTTGTTCTGTGACAACCAGGCGGCTCTACATATTGCTGCTAATCATGTCTTTCATGAGCGGACTAAGCACGTTGAGATGGATTGTCATTTTGTTCGCGAACGCGTTCAGTCTCGTGAATTCGCGCCCGCGAAGATTCCCACCGCTGATCAGCCTGCAGATTTGTTTACTAAGGGCTTAAGCGTGGATCAGTTTCATCATCTCTTCGTCAAGCTCGGTCTTCTTGACATTCACTCCTTCGCTTGAGGGGGCGTGTTGTGATCCCTAGGGACATGGTTTATTATTATAGGGATCACTTTGTAATTTGTCATTTTATTTTCCCTCCCAACTCCAGCTGAACGTGTAGAGGAGTAGGGTTCTGTTCTCTTGTGTACAAATCGGGTACTAGCTGCTGCGGCTAACCCTAAGAACCATAAAACAAAAATAAGAAATCTCTGAGAGCTTGAAGCTCTCCGTGGACTAGTCACGCTCATGTTGAGCGGGGAAACCACGTAAATCTTGGTCTCGTGTTTTTATTCTTTCCGCATTCGTCGTATTTTACAGTAGCAGGGAAGTAGTAAAACTGTTGTGGATGGTACTGATATGGCGAATGCAGAACCTGATTCGTCGCCATTTGCTGATACCTATCGCCACCGGACGGATTCGAAGAACATGGAGGAACAGAGCTACTACCAGAGTTAGGATCGACATTGTTGTCCTGCTGAACTTTGATCTCCTTCTTCTCTGCTTTACTTTTACCCTCGCGCCGCTTCTTCTCGCCACTGACGCGGTTACCCGGAGATTCTTTAGCGACGGTTTGGGTTTTTGGCGACGAGTTTTCGGCCGCGGCTGGGATGACCACCGCCTTTGGCTCTTCTTCTTGTTTGGTTCCCCTGTTTTCACTCTGTTTCTGGTTCTCCTATTCTTCTTCTGACTTCCTTTCCCTTGTTCTTGGTTGGCTTTAGGATTCTTGGGTTCGTTGCTATCACAAATCGAAGCCTTCTTCCCTTTGTTTGAGAGTTTCCTGATCAATGTCTCTCCTTCCACGTTTCCAGTTACAGTGTCTCTGTTTCTTCATATCAACAGTTACCGAGTAAACACCTGACCAAATGTAAAATCAAAGTGTCACGAAAGGTTAAAAAACTACCCTACTGCGAGGGGAGCAAAATAAAAATTGAAAGGTTACCATGGATGGCTAATAGGATTTTGCAGACTTTTCTCTTGCAACCTTGTTAGTGGACGGAAACTCTCAGCAGGCATGTCTGTGGGGGAAAAAACAACAACAATGACGATGGTTTTGTATCAATCAATACAATAGCGACGAAAGAAAAGAAGGGATGAGGTAGTGATTGAGTTACTTTGCAATGGAGTCCAGTTGAAGCTTCTTCGGGTACAGAGGATGTGTTCCTTGCCCTAACAAGAAGCACAAAACAACCCTCTGTAAGGAAGTGGTTAAGTACCATACACGGGCCTGTATAAGATCTAGCATAACCTTCTCCCAACAAATCGAGTTATTGGGACCAACTGGTTTATGACATGGTATCAGAGCTGGTTTGTCCTTGAGGTCACGTGTTCAAGTCCTCACGACCTCCAATATTAACCATTGTCTTTAAGTTAGGGCTGGCATTTCGGTTTGCGGTTAGCGGGTAACCGCCGGTTTTAACCGAAAACCGCCGATTACCAGCTAACCGAAAACCGACCGGTTACCTTGACGGTCGGTGGTCGGATGGAAAAAGGAAGGGGTCAGTTGACCGAGTAACCGACGGTGATTAACCGCGGTAATCCGACTAACCGGGCCAACCGAGACCCACTTAACCTTCCCCAAAATCCTGTCTAAATTCATCTCCATTCCCACATCTTGAATAAAAAAAAATTCCCAAATCGGAAGAAGAAGAAGAAGCAGATCTACACTCTCACGTCTCACCGCCCTTCCCACCGCCGGCATCCCCCCCAAGCCCACCTCCCTTACCTATTCCGCCGCCAAGTCCTCCGCCAAACCCGCCACCTGCACCCGCTCCACATCCTCACCGCGGCGGAGGCCATTGCCGGCGTCCCATAGCCCGGTTTCGTCTACGAAAGATGAGAGCGTCGGAGAAGCTTTGCTTCGGCTCATTTTCTGGGTAAGACGAGGGAGAGTGAGAAAGAGCAGAGAGAGGGAACGATTTGTTCTTGGTTTGTTAGAGAGAGAGAGAGAGAGAGAGAGAGAGGATGTCATCGATTGAGGGAGAGGCAGAACGAGAGAGGTGAGGGAGGGGGCGATTTCGGCTTGGCGGGCGGTGGCTCTCTGGAAAGGAAGAAGAAGAGAATCGAGAGAGTGGGGAGAGAGATAGGTTAGGCTTCTCTGGAAAGGAAGAAGAAGAATCGAGAAGTGAGAGGGGGTTAGGAGTGAGTGGTGCAGAATTTTTGTTGCTTTTAATTTTTTTTGTGTAGAAAAAGTAGTTTTCCGGTTGGACCGAGCCTAAAACCGAAACCGACCGGTCGGTTGGTCGGCTAACCCCGACCACTCTCACGGTTGGCAGCTATAGGGGGTGGCTCGGTTTAACCGATAACCGGGTTATCAGTTTTCGGTTAAACCGAAACCGATCGACTGCCACCCCTACTTTAAGCACATGGTATGGCGGGCCTGTGCAAACTTCAAACCCATGGGTCGACTTTCGTTTGAGGGGGCGTGTAAGAAAGTGGTTAAGTACCATACACGGGCCTGTATAAGATCTATGACACCCTCCTCTCTCTCTCTCTCTAGCAAATAGCTCTGTTTCTGGTTAATATAGATAGGGTAAACACTCTGGTTTAAATTCCCTCTGTATCTTTCTTCTGCATTCAGTTGTCCATCACCATTAATGACATTTTTTTTAAACAGGGTGATGTTGGTTAAGTGGTAGCTACTAGCTTAACCATTCAAATCTATCTAGAACTGGACGGAATTGAAACAGTGCGCTGATAGGGAAAATCTAGCAACTCAATCGGATTATCAATTTATCATCATCTGCTTGCACCCAAAATCCAAGGGTGGGTTGGGGGAGCCATCAATACACTACCCATTAACACACATAAGGCATAGATCCAAATGTCATTCCAACGCCATCATTCTATTCCAGAGGTTGCATGAATGAATGAATGAATGAACTGGATTTGGTGGGTGGAAGGTCATTTACTTCACCGGTCGATCATCGTCATCGTCATCAGCAGTCTCCTTTGAATAGTTAAGGTCCCTTTTGGAGCCAATGAGATAGAGAGGCATGGTTGAGAAAGAATTCAATCGCCTAATAGTAAGGGGGAGAAAGTGGGGAACTACAAGAACAATGAACACAACTGCAAAAAAAATTACTACAACTATGATTGTACTACAACTCACGATTAGTATGATGCTAATTCCCTTATTCGTTAGCAAACAAACCAATCCCCCCAAACTGGATGAATTGTCTTAAAGTGGTAAATCTTAGTCCTATGGTCAACTCAATCACATTCCTGATATAGTAAATAAACGAGTTCAACGGATAACTACAACTGAATTTGAGAATTTAGCTTCAAGAGAGGGGATATAGGCATCATCAATCCATGTAAGTAAAACATCACAGATAATGGACGTATTACAAGCTTTTTGCCTCCTCCTGGGCAGATTTTACAACTAAACTATTACATTTATCTTTGGAGTACTTCAATACATTGCAGCTAGATGGACTCAGAAAAGAAAAGGTTTCTTTCCCATGCAAATGGCTGTTTTAGGCTGAAGTAGGCTCTTCCTTGACAGATAAGACTTTTGCTTGATCTTCTTGTTTCTCATCTGCCTCCAAGTGGTTCGTCTCGTCAGCTTCATCCGCTTCCCCATCCACGGGCTGCACATTCCCAGTTATGCATCAGGTTCTTAACGCTCGAGTTTTTCTACTAATGAAGGGAAGGGAAAAGGAGAGTTTGTATGGACGGACACTTACCCCCAAGTTCTTCATGCTAGAAGAGATGTCATCTTGTTGCTGTTGAAGTGTAGTTCTGAGTTCTTTAAACTCCTGTTGTTTGTTTTTTATTGGGATTCAGATGGAAATTATTACTTGAACAGGTTGTAGTAGCATGTGACGGGAAACGGAGTAAAGGAGTAATACTAACCAATCGAAGTTGATCCACTTCGTCATTCAACGATTTCTTCACTCCTGTTAATTCCTGAAAAAGCAAGAAGATCCCACCTCAATCCACTAGCATAATCGAATGTAGGAAGCAAGCAATAGAATGCCAGGTTCAAATTGTAACAAAAGGCAATAGGAACTGGGAAGCAAGCAAGTGAACCCCTTTGATTATTAAGCTACTGAAAGGTAGGAGTGGTGCTGGTTATTGATTACTAATGACTTCTTGAGACAAAATCTCAACCCTAACACACACCAAATATCTTGGGTCTGCTGAAAGCAAGGAAAAAATTGCTTATGAGGGAAAACACTGCACAACCAGCCCAGTTGTTTTAAGCAAAGCTAATGATCGACAAGTAACACCATGGCCGAGCAGAATGCCAGTCATCCAGATGAAGACACAGCATAAGAACTCGGTAGGAACAGAACGACAAAGAGCTAACACGAATTAGACAATGGAAAAACCCAAGAACATGACATACAAGCAAATGTTAAAGTCCCATAGTGGTCTGCTGCATCATCTACCTCACAACTTCTCTCAATCTCCAAGTTCATCATCAACTAAACGAACAAGAAATGGGGTTAGGAAATAGAGGGAAGGAGGCAATGGCTGTTTGTTACCTCACGGTAGATTTTGATCTGAGTGTCTATCTTGGATCTCCAAGTATGCAAGTCCTGAAAACCCATAAACACGCCAACAAAACTTCAGCAATCAATGTCTATTCCAACTTTCCAAGTCAGTCAAAGCCTAATTTCGACTAGAAAATTAAGAACTTCACCTTTTTCAAGCCTTGGATTCTGGTAAGGAGCTCAACCCTCGATTCGTTCAATTCCTACAAACACAACCAACAACAGCGGAGATTGTTTCTTAATAATAAATCCAAATCTAGTTTTTTTTTTTTCCGCTGGCGGCAGCTGCTAAATCAAAACCCTGGCAACTACGTAGGAGGACTCGGAATTCAAAAGGTTGAAGAAGAATGAGGAAGAAAAAAAAAAATCTCTCACCGCGATCTTGGAGCTCACGGGCGTAAGATTCTCCTTCTTCTGGAGGCCGCTCGAAAAGGGGGAAAAGAAACGGAAATGAGAAAGTGAGCAGAAGAAGGAAATATATGGAGATGAGAAAAGGCAGGGGAGTAGAAAGTTAACCGGAGCGAGAGGAGCGGGAGGCGGAGATGGAGATTGGGCGGTGGCGGTGGCGGAGTCGGAGTCGGCCATTGGCGGAGGCGGGTCGATTTGGAGCTCGGAGATAGAGAGAGAGAGAGAGAGGAAATGGAAGTGGAGAATTTGAATTTGGATGAGGAATTGGGCGGGGGGGTTTGGGAGGAAGACAGTAATGGGAGAGAGAAAATAGGGACTGAACTGATCAAAGAAGTTGCAGTCTGCACATACAGCGATACAGACGGAATCTGGAAGAGTAACTCCGCGGTCCTATATTTTTGTTCCTTTCAAGTTGTCAAACCGGTTTGTGCCAGTGTGCCGGTTTAGCAAGTGGAATGGTTCGACCGGTGGTACATACCGGTTTGTGCCGGTTCATGCCGGTTAATATTACAAATAATTTACAAATACTCATATTTTAAGCACGGCATTTAACGTCAATAACTAAATATTTGTACTTGAATCCAACAAATAACATCAACATTTAACTTTTTAACACATAAAATAAATAATAAATTACTTTTTATCAAATAAATTCACTAATATAAGATCATTTTACTTAGAGATTCGTATATCGATCATGCCGGTCATACCGGTGGTGTCATACCAGTTTTATGACCGGTACAGGTTGAACCAGCTGGTTCAACCAGTGGCACGCCGGCCGGCGTGACAACCATGGTTTCTTTCTATTTTTTTACACTTTATGTGGTGTTTTTTATACTGAATTATTTCTTTTATGCGTGTAAACAACAAACAAATGTTTAAAACAAATTAGTGGACACGGGAGATACAATTTGGACCTTCATTTCCTTAGATCATTTCCAATGCATTGGACTAAAATGCTAAATTTTGGAGGTAGATTAGCATTCTAGCTCGTCAAAAAGTGATTTTGCTCTAACAGGAAAAACTAGAATGTTAAATCCCCCAAGTTGCACATTTTATCATAATTTAGTTTAATGTAGATTCCACCACTTTACTTATATAATTTGTAAATTATTTTTACATACATAGTATTAATTAATTAAGACAAACATTTCGATGCAAATTTTTTAATTTGGACATAAAAAAATTCGTTAAATATGACGTCATCAATGACGAAAACATAAAGTTGGTTCAGATGGCCTCATATCACATGTTTTTCAGATTGAGTTGTAACATCAACTGTTCATTTAGCTTTAATAAAAAATGAGTTGTGCCATCAACTGTTCATTCAACTTCAATCAGAATGAGATGTGTCATCAACTGTTCATTCAGCTTTAATCAAACAGAGTTGTGCCACCAACTATTTATCCAACTTTGACTACATTATTGCAGAAAGAATCTTTTCGTTTTTCTATAAATGAACTCTCAAACTTGATCATTCCACACATCCACAATTCACTCTTCTAACTTGAAAACCCATTCAACTTTCATACATCTCTCTAGCAACAACAAACTCTTTTTTCTACATAGATTCCTCTGGTTCAGAAGATTATGGGAGGGAAAGGGAAGTTTATGAGAGTAAAGGGAAGCTGATGAGAGTCAATGGGAGTATGAGTGTCAGCTTGAGCGTGAAAGAACAGAGATGTTCACGATGTATGAACCCAAATGTGACAACAACAAGCAACTTCATCTCGTCATAGGTCATCATCAAGAAAAACAGTGAGGCGTAACAAGAAAGACGCTCACAAGCGATTGATGCAAGATTATTTCAATCCGAACCCAACCTACGACGCTAGGGAATTCACAAGGCGGTACCGGATGCCCCCTGCCTTATTCAACCACATCATGAATGATGTTATTCAACATGATGTCTACTTCAGGCAGGGAAAAGATGCTTTAGGTCGTGATTCATTCTCTCCACACCAAAATCTTACTAGTGCTTTTCGAATGCTTGCATATGGATGTTCAACTCACTCTTTGTATGAAACCTTTTGAATGGGCGAGAGCACCACACTAGAGTGCCTGAGGAGATTTTGCTCTGTCATCACAAACATTTATGGTCATCAATACTTACGTGCACCAACAATGGAAGATCTTCGCTGCCTTCTTGATTATAGTGCACAACGTGGTTTTCCAGGTATGATTGGTTCAATTGATTGCATGGGCAGGCCAATACACTGGAAGAAAGGGGAAACTAACAATCATCCTTGAAGCTGTAGCATCGTATGACACATGGATTTGGCATGCCTTTTTCGAGACACCTGGATCAAACAATGACATCAACACTCTCGGAGTATCCCCACTTTTCGATCAAGCAGTTAGAGGAAATCTCCCTAAGATCAACTATATATGAGGTAAATGGTAAGACGTATGATCAATCTTATTACTTGGCTGATGGAATTTACCCTGAATAGGCTACATTTATGAAGACTATTACTAATCTAAATAGTCAGAAAAAAGAAGTTGTTTGCAAAGTTACAAGAGGGTTACCGTAAGGATGTTGAGAGAGCCTTTGGTATATTACAACACAGATGGGCCATTGTTAGAGGTGCAAGTCGTTTATGGGATGTGCAAACACTTGGTGAGATTATGTTAACTTGCATTATTCTCCACAATATGATAGTGGAAGATCAACGGAGCGAGAGTATTGATGGGTTTGTGGAGAGTGTTGAATACGAGACTAATCCAAATGTCACATGGGATCCTCCTGACCATAACATTCCGACTCTAATGGAGTATGTGGCAAGACATAATAGGGTTCGTGATCGTCCAGATATATGATTTGGTTGAGCATCTATGAACAAGACATGAAGGAGAGTAGTATTGTTTTCTTGATGTATTCCCTATTTTTTAGGGATGTGTTGTCTATGTTTTATTGATGTATTCCCTTGGATGTATTGTTGTGTTCTCTATGTTTTTTTACGTATGTGTTAAGTTAGTTGTTATGTACTTCCTATGTTTTAATAAAAAAAGTACTTGCATTACTGAATGGCGAATCACAATTGAAAGAAAGCATACATTAACCTTAAATCAAATTAGTTAAAGCAATACATTCAAAATAAAGCTATACATTTCTCCTAAATCAAACTACTTAAAACAATAAATGTAACAGATTACAGGTCGGGTGCATAAGAGTCGTCGTTAGGGCTATAAGTGGATCCTCGCGGAGTTGAACTTGGTGCACCTTGATACGAAGCCACAATCTGGTCTTTTTTGCATTTGGTACCAAGCTCTAGTTCGAAGACTATATTGAGAAAGATCCATACTCATTACCTTCATCTCGTGTTTGTGATTCTCTCTTAATTCCCTTGCATTCTCTCTTGCTTCTCTCACACGCTCTCGTTCCTCTCTAGCGAGTGCTAACTTTGCATGCGTGTTTGAATTCTCCACTAAACTTGCCATACCCTTGTCCCAACCTTCAGATATGGAGTGCCTCTTTTCTTCTTCTTTTGTTTATCCCGACCTTCGGGACGGTTGATCACAAAAGGAGATGAATTTGCTTGAATGTCGGAGCTATCACTTTCGCCAAATGGCATACCCGATGAATATCCATCCATTGGTGGAATGGGTGCAACGGGTGTATAAAATTGTTGCATGTATTTAGGACAATTTTGAAGTATATTTAGTGGCGGACCCAGAATTGTTGGAGAGGTGTGTGGCCGATAAAATAAAATAAAAATAATTTTTTTAATATAATTAAATAGAAATTACTAGAAATTAATTCATAAAATTCATAATGTCATGTTTACAACGAACCACGAGGACTTTTCATGTCCTGAAATGTCTGCAAAATACATTCATCGCTTATGTTGCGAAACAAATCCTTTTTGATATACACAACTAAACAATCATTCATAAATTGGTCACTCAATCGACTTCGAAGTTCATTATTGATTATCTTCATAGTTGAAAAATGCTCTTTCGCGCCTTGCAATTGCAACAAGTAAAAAATAAAACACCAACTTCAAGAGCAAGTAAATTAAAGGATAAAAGAAAAGGGGATGTGACAATTAATCTAGGTAATTAGAAACTAAAAAGAGGTAAGGATGAGTTTTTTATTTTATTTTTTATTTTCAACAAAGGAAGGGTCAAGTGGTGGAAACGGTAAGTTTCAAAGGATGGAGTTATTTATACTTTTTCCATTACTGAGTTGTGGTGTGATTTACTTTAAAACAAGCATATTTATTTGATTTGACTTATTATTGTGTATTACTAATTAAGATAAATAAATTTATAACAAGAAAATCACTTTTGTACAACGAAATTGTGTCGCTCACAATTATTTGAGGTGTTTGCAAAGCCCCGAATTAAAAAAATTTGTACAAAAAATATATAGGTAATTCACAAAATTTCCGGGCGAGGGTGTGTCGGGCGACACACCCTGCCCCTTGTTAGGTCCGCCCCTGAGTATATTCCAACAATGCATGAACATGAATTTTTTTTCCAGTGTCCGCTACATATATACCTTTTGCTCGTTCAATCTAGAAAATTAATTTGATTGTATAATAATTAGAAACAACATACATAATAAAAATATAAGAATTACTAACCACATCACTTAGGTTCTCTCCGCTCATTGGTGTAGCGCTTGCCCTCCTCGATGCCGAATTCCATAACCCACATTGATGCTTAATGGTCTTCCATTGAGAACTCAAGCCCGTGTCAAGACGTTAAACCCACCATCCTTTAGCAGCAAAAATGACTTTGACTTGCCTCCATAACTCGATTGTGGATTGATTGATACAGACAGAGCCAACCTCTGAAATTTCAATCCAAGCATTGCATAACACTACATCTTCATCATCCTTCCAAATTTGGAGCACGATAAGTTTGAGACATGATTGGGAGTTTAAGAAGAAGAGAAGTGTTTTTGTTTAATGGGAAGTGGAAGAGTGGTATTTATGATTGAAGAAGAGAAAATTGTGTAGGTTGATGCAACTTGAAGTGAAAAAATGGTGCCAATTTATAGAGAACTTCATAAAAAATAGTTGTTGGAGGTCAAAAGTGTCGTTGGGGTTAATTTGGGGGTTGAAACAAATTTTTTTATATACATATTGCGCGACCGAAAAGCACCAGCCGCACAGGGCGACTGTGGGACGAACGTGCGGCAGGGGCCGCGTCCCTTCCAGCACGTGCGCCCCAGCGCCCCCTGGTGGCCAGTGCAACGGGCAAATGGAATGGAGCCCTTGCTTTTGGTCCCTCTTGTCCTTTTGTGTTCCAAATCTGGCCCAAATGAGAGCCAATTTTAGCATATTGGAACTCTAACCTTTCCATTGGAGGTAATAATTCTGGAACTTTGGCATTTTGGCCCTTGCGCTGGAGATGGTCTTAGATATAGCAAAACTAACTCTAGTAAATATGTAAGTGGTCGTCCGAGCATCCGCATCCTGAGACACAAAGAATTTTTCTGGATCCGGTTGAACAAGGTCACAACATCCATATCCAACTCTGTCAACGAAGAAAAAGAAAAAGGGCAGGAAACCATAACCAGCCGCTTTACACAAGTCCCGATACTTGGCACCAGGGGCAGAGCTACATTCACTATGGGATGGTTTCATGGTCGGAGAATTACAGCGATGGTGATGTAGTGCTCTGAATGGGATCAGAGTACCTTGGCTATAATCCATTATCAGACGGTACTTAGAAGCATGGTCCATGAAACCATACCGTATCAATGGTTCAACCACGAAATACCTGTATTGAAGGCTAAACCAATAGATGATGTTTAACAATATTCTCGGTTAAACTACGATTAAACCACAGTTTTATCATAAAATATCCTACCACTGACTTTTTCGATACAATCTCCGGTACAGTTTCATGGACCATGCTTAGAAGCCCTTTTTGGCCATTCTTCTCAATTTCCGTAGTTATTATAACTATTTTATTATTTTAATGTATTATAAAAATGAGTTGGAAATTGTAAATGATTATATTTTATTATTTTTTAACAGCCACGCCATTTATTTAACATGTCAACTATTAGAGTTGACTGTCACATCAGACACAGTTAATGAAATTGGACGGATAGTGATCAAACTTGAACTAGTTTTAGTGACCACGAATTGAATTAAATATTTGTAGTGATCAAACATGAACTTTTTTAGTAAACTCAAATACTCAATGACCAAACTTGCAATTTACCCAAAGGAAAAATATATGGAGAATGAGAAAAAGGCAGGGGAAGAGGAGGAAGAAGACAACATCGAGCCTTCGACGAGACCCCTAATGTCTTAACCTGAAGGAGATATTGGGTCTTGGTTTAATGGAGGGAGGAATGAATTTTGACTTCTGATAGAAATGGAATATGGGGGGAATGGTCGTTTGGTGTAGGTAGATAGGCAGTGGGTGGAGAAAACCAGAGACGACAAAGGTATTCGAGGACGGTAGAACGAAAAGAGGATTTTTTTTATCGAATCTGTAAAGCTTTATTAACCATATGTTGCGGCTACATCGTCCAACTCAATCTGATCAACAATAATCAACGGAGGCCTATCATACCAAACTTCCCTCTCGTTCCAACGGGTCTTGACATGGGCCATAAGATGAGCTGCCATGTTTCCTTCCCTGGGCGCATACTGCCATACTCCATTCCCTGACTCTCGAAGTAACCGGGTGATGCTACGACATATTATACCGATAATGATGTAATTTCACATATTTGCACCCCTAGTTCTTATCCGTTTGAGGGGCATAGTCGTGTATTTTTGGCCTATTTTACGTCGGGTTGTGCTACTTTGTCATATTTCAGGTCCCAGACGTCGAAGGAAAGGCTAAGCACGAGTTTCGGGGCATTCAGAAGTCATTCGGTCGAGCTGGAGCCAAAACACGGGCACGCCTAAATCAAAGCACGACCGTGTTCCTGGATCGTGTTTTTACTGCCGAGGCTTGATCCAAAACTGACAAACACTAGCTCAAAACACGGGCGGGACTGACCCAGAACACGGCTGTGTCCATCATCAAACACGCCCGTGTTTTCCCCAAAGTCTGGCCGTGTATTTACCACGTTGCAAGGGCACGGGCGGGCTAGAGCAAAGCACGGCCGTGTCCTCGACCGTGTTTTGCCCAGTGATGCCCTTTTAGGCAGATTTCAGCCAAAAGAGAAGGGGATTCGAGTTTTAGAGAGACAGAGCGATTCCTAGAGAGAGAAAGCGACGAACAAGAGTTCCCAAGTGCCCTAGCTTGATCTTCATCACCATTGGAGCTTGGCTTGATCTTGGAGTAGTGCCGATCAACGCCCAGGAACAGAAATCCATCCTTCACAGTATGGTTTCCGCATCTGAATCTGCTTTTGCTTCTTTCTCCATGGAGTAGTTCTCCCATTCATCTGGGTATGGGAAACCTTAGATTTGTATGTTAGGTTTGATTGTATGAACCCAAGTACAGATTCTATGATTTGATTATATTCAATTGAGGTTTGAATGATTGAATGGCATGAATCCTGATCAAATTCCTGTTGTTTCTGCTTTAACATAGAATGAGAATATCTGCCTAGGTTGATAGAGCACCCTTAATTGAAGGTAGTGAACTGGCGACTTTAGTCGAGGAACCAATTCACTATTCTGTACCGAATTTATTTCGGTAGTGGAGGTTTTGTTCGTTAGGGCCTCAATCTGTTTACTCCGGTGGAGGTTAGTCGCCCGCTAGAGACTCAGATTGAGAGGGTCTAGAGACCTTTAGTCGAGACTTCAGACTGTTTAAGAACCTTCCGCAGTATAACTATCATAGAAATTGAACTTGGTAAATTGCAATCCGGCTTAACTGCAGTCTAGGGGGAACCATATCCGGGTGACCTCTCTCGACTTGAAACAACCGTTTAACTTGCTTTGTGTTTTTGTTTGTTTGAACCTGCACTTAAGTTTTACCGCTAGATAATAAGAATTCGCTGAGTAGTCATCAAATCTAGGACCCGGGTTGACATTAAAACCCAAACCCGCTATACTACGCTTTAGGAAGTGGTTTCACTTGGCCATTTTCTAGAGTGACAATAGGAGTGAGTCATATACCCAACTCCGTATGTATGAAATCCGCCACTGCCAGCTTATGTGTGAGTGATAGGCAGTCCGTTTCAAGAACCAGGTTCGTCAAATTTGACTAATGAGCCAATTGTAAACCGAACTCAGCATCCATAGCTTCCGCCATCTCAGGTTCCCAACTTCCCGGGATATTCTTTGCTGCCGCTAGAAGGAACAACCCTTCATCATTAAGAATCACAACCCCCAAACCGAACCCCCCAGACGGCAAGATACCTGCATTAGTGTTTATTTTCCATTGACCTCTTTGCGGCCGTAGCCAATGCTTCACCATTGTTCTTTCTTCCTCACCTGCTTCTTTCGCTTGGTGCGCTCTATAATCCGCAATCCACATTCTGCTCTAGAGACAATCTTATCCTCCGCCAATTTTGTTCCATTAAAGAGATGGGCGTTACGTTCCTTCCACAAGAACCACAGAAGCACCGCCCAGTCTTCAAATTCAGTCTCGGACTTGGAGTCCATTACTGTCTTCAGCCAGTCATAACAGTTATCCGAATTGCGGCAGAGGAAGCAATCCACAAGCGCTGACTTGCACCATAGACGAGACGACCACTCACACTCCCCAAATCTATGGATTTGGGTCTCTCTTACGTCGCAAAACGGGCACTTATCTCCCCACCGCTTGCTTTTGACACTGATATGGTCTCCGGTTGGGAGTATATTTTGGGAAAATCTCCAGAGGAAATGCCTTACTTTTGACGGGGAGCTCATATTCCAGATTCTCTTCCATACTTGGGCTTCACCTTCCATCACTATCTGCTCTCGGTTCTTAAATTCCTCGAGCCAACACCGGTACCCGTCCCTTACAGTGTATTCCCCAGAGGGAGTTCCTTTCCAAATCAGCCTATCCTGCTCCCTCAATTCACGGAGAGGGATGGAGCGAACAGTGTTTGCAATTTCCGAAGGGAAACAAGCTTCAAGCATCACTTCGTCCCATTGGTCCGTGTCTGACAAGATAAGTTCTCGTACCGTAGCTTCAACAGGGAGCCCCACCGGAGCAGAGGCAACGTACACCAAATCAGAGGTCGGCAGCCATGGATCACCCCATATTCTTATCATAGCTCCGTTCCCAACCCGCCAACGTAGCCCACTGTTCAAGAACTCTTGGGCACTCAGCAAGCTATGCCAAATAAAACTTGGCTGATAACCCAACGACGCATCCAACACCGAGCAATGCTTGTGGTATTTTTCCTTTAGGATACGTGCAATTAAAGAATCCGGGCGAAGACGAATCCTCCAGAGCTGCTTTGCTAGCAACGCCGTATTGAACCCATGCAGGTCACGCAGGCCTAGACCCCTTCCTCTTTAGCGCACACCAATTCCTCTCGTCGAAGCCAGTGAACCCTTCTCTCTGTCCCTTTTTGCCCCCAGTAGAAATTTGCTACGAGACTTTGTACTTCATCAAGGACAGCATCAGGAACACGGAACACCGACATAGCGTAAGTAAATTGAGCTTGCGCCACAGACTTTATGAGCACTTCTTGCCCCGCCACTGACAAAACTCGCTCCTTCCAGGATTTTAACTTTCTCCTTGATCCTGTCTGTAATGACCTGAAGAATCTCTTTTTTCGACTTGCCAACTACCGTTGGAAGACCCAAGTAATTTTCAACCGCCACCATCCCTAAAGCTCCACTAGTCATCAAGCATTGATGAGTTCGGAAATTTCCACTGAAAGAAACGACAGACTTCTGGAAATTAACCTGCTGTCCTGACTCACATTCATAGTCTTGTAAAATTTTCTTCAACGTGCATGCTTCACTTTTCGTGGCCCTGCCGAAGAAGATGCTATCATATGCAAAGAACAAGTGTGATACAATAGGAGCTCCTCCAGCTGGCTGAACACCATGGATTTTCCCTTCCTGGACCGCTTTCTTTGTATAGGCTGACAAGCCCTTTGCACATAGTACAAGCCCTTTGCACATAGTATAGGATCACCCTGTCTTAATCCTCTTTCCGGCGTAAATGTCTGTGATTGATGTCCATTCACCAGTATTGAATAAGTTACTGTTCAAACACACATCATTATCCGTTCTATCCAACTGGTAGCAAACCCCATTCTCTGCATTACCCGCTCTAAGAACCACCACTCACCCCGATCGTAGGCCTTAGCCATATCAATCTTTGCAGCAAAGAAACTGGGACCCTTGCTGCTCTTCTTCTTCTTCTTCTTCTTCATTGTATGAAAACACTCAAAAACCGCCATTATATTATCCGATATGAACCTTCCGGGGACAAAAGCACTATGTTCTTGAGAGATGACGCCATCTAAAACCCCTTTCAATCGATTTGCTAGCACCTTCGCCACCAGTTTATACAGGACATTACAGAGGCTTATTGGACAAAACTCTTGCGGTGTCACAGGCTTCTTTGTCTTTGGAATAAGAGCTATCAACGTGTGGTACAACTTTTCTGGCATCACTCCCGTCTCCAAAATCCTTATCACATTATCCACGATATCGTCTCCAATAATGCCCCAATACCTGCGAAAAAATAGTACAGTCATGCCATCGGCTCCTGGAGCCTTGCGCTTACCCATCTACTTCAGAGCCTGCACGACTTCCTCTCTTTCCCAAGGCCGTGTCAGCAGTGCATTTTGTTGTTCTGTGATCGTCTGCTCAACAGCATCGAGGACAGGGGTGGTGGTTGGGACTTCTCCTGCATGAAAAAGGGACAAGTAATAAGACATCAAGCATTGAGATACTTGGTAAGTGCCTACCCACCATGCCACACCTCTGTCTTGTAGTTTTTGAATGGTATTTCTCCTTTTCCTGGCCAATGCTTTCCTTTGGAAAAGTTTGTATTCTTGTCTCCTACCTGTAGCCAGTCTGAGCGCGAACGATGTTGCAGTATAAGTCTTCACTATCTTCCAGCTCCATCAACTCTGCTTCGAGTTGTTTAATCTGCTCCACAATGTGTGGTTCCTTATTTGCTCGGTCCAAAACACGGAGCGCCTTACTGATTCTTTCCTTCTGCTTGCCGAATTGAGGAAAAGTGGCTCTGCTCCACCTGCCTAGCTCATTCCTGCAAAAATCAAGTTTTTTTAGTGCATCACCACGGTTTCCCCTCCGCCAAGCCTCCTCGATAACCTCTGGGCACTGAGCATGCTTAGCCCAATGCGCCTCAAACCGGAACATCCAGCCCCATTTTGGTTCGATGTCTTCGTCTCCCTCGGTATCACAGACAATCGGGCGGTGGTCCGACTTGAACTTTTCAAGATGTCGCACCTTAACCCTTGGGAACAGATCACTCCATTCCATCGACACCAAAAACCTATCCAAACGTTCCTCAATGAACCCACCAGTGGTCCTATTATTAACCCACGTGAATTTGTGGCCTTGGAACCCCAAATCTTGGAGCCTCGCCGCCTGTAGGCAGTCATTGAAAGCCGCCATTCCAGCAGCATTTTCCGGTCGACCTCCTTCCTTCTCTTCGCTACACTGAATTTCGTTGAAGTCTCCACCATAGAGCCAAGGCCCATCCCAATGTTGTGACAGGTTTGTGATTAGCTCCCAAGTAAGATACTTCTCCCCCTCCTCTGGCCAACCATACAGTCCTGTGAACCTCCAACAAAATTGGTCATTGGTTATTTTTGCATCAATATAGTGAAGTGATCGGGTGAGTGGGTGACCACCTCGACATTTGTACCCTCATGCCACCAAAGACTGACACCCCCTGCTCTCCCGCCTCTCGATCTATCTGTTGATTGGTTCTTCCCATGCTCAAATCCCATCTCCGTTCGTGTTAATCCATTCCCATCCTCTGTTTGTTTCGTTTCCATAAGAAAAACCAAATCTGGGGAGGTGAGTCGCAAAAGCGACTTTAGTGACTTTACTGCTCGCTTACTCCCCAGGCCGCGGCAATTGTAGCTAAGTATTCTCATCTATGACTAGAAGGGGATGGGCTCCCCGCGCCTTTACGTTGTGTATCGGAGTTGCGACCCCCATCACCTTCTTTAGACTTTTCCCGGTTAGTTTCCTTCCCCTGTTTCCCCCCATCTTTGATGAAGTTTGTTTACTTGAAATGCATTATTAATTTGTTAGTTTGTTTCTATATTTATATTAAACATGTCATGGTATTAGTGTAGATCTGATTTTGAATGAAAATGAAATGTATTACACACTTACACTACATTGAATTGCATTTTAATTGATTTTTTATTTTAATATATAATGAACCTATCATGTTAGAAATTTGAACTTTAGATCTTATTTGGAGTTATTTTAGTCATCTTAAAAAAGTGTAGTTATAATAATATAATAAATCTGTTTTCCCTTATTATTTTAATTTTAACGTCTTCTCGCGGTTATAGAGTAAGAATCCCCCCCCCCCCCCGGACCATCAAATCTTGGCTCCGCCTCTGCTCTTGATATTGAGATATAGTATCCTTGCCCTTGCTAATATCTTTCTCCATAGCGACATGGGCCTCACTTGGTTTGTCAGTATGCAAATCATCCCCTAGCGCCCCAAACCGATTTTGTGCTTTGGGCACGTTACCCACCCTCTGCTTATATTCCTTTCTCTTTGCTGCATTATTGTCTTTCTTGATCGGGCGGCGCTCTTTCCGTTTCACCATCATCCACTCGCCGTAGGTTGGTCCCTTCCCTGGTCCTTGTTCGACATATTGGGTTTCTAGGACAAACTCAACCAACTCATGTACAACCTCATCAATAACCTTACACCGGCATCAATCAGTAGGTTGACCATATTTGTCGTAGTCCATACAGATATGATCAAGACCTTCATACTGGATTAGGTACTCGATGCCCTCAACTTTGTATTTGGACAACAGTGGTTTCCTCAAGTCCACCTCTACACATACTCGTGCAAAGTTCCCTCGAGCTCCCTCCTCCGTGGCTCTATCAACACGTAAGGGATTCCCAATCAGTGACCCAATCTTCATAGCTGCCTCTTTATTGATAAACTCGATCGGTAGCTCCGGGAGTTGTACCCATATCAACGTTGATGACACTTCCGACTTCCATGGGTTAAACCCCTTGTACCATCGCATCACTGTTAGGTAAGTCTCTCCCAGTAACCACGACCCTCCACTAGTGGCAATTTCATAGTCCTCCTTCCTAAACCGAACAAGGAAACAACCATTCTTAATATCCGAGATCTGTAGATCACCATGTTTTGCCCATAAGAAGTTAGGACGCCGGGAGAGCTCCATGTATGAAACTTTTCTTCCGAGGCCCTTCACAACCAGCGCCGACCGCCACTCTCTCCTCCATATGATTTTCTCAGCTGCTGTAAAGGTAGCTGTTGGGCACAACGGGTCACTTTCCATATCATCGAAAGGTTCATCCTCCTCTTTCTCAGCCTGCACAACATCTTCCGTGTCGGACTCAGCAACATACCAGGTGTCCGGTTGGACTACATCCCTGAACAGCCTGCGCTTTCTTTCCTGCCAAACCGGGGAGCCTCTTTTGCCTTCTCCTCTTTCCGGCTGTGGGCTTTCCTCCGCTTCCATCTCACCAGCTGTAATATCTTCAACTACTCCTTGTTGGTCAAAGTTAAGGGGACGAACTTTCTTTTTTGGTTGGGTAGCCTCCTTTTCATTCTTAGTGTTCGGGGAAGAGGAGACTTCTGAAGGACGCCACACGCCACTAGTGTTGTCCGGTGGCTTGCCCATCGTTGCCGCCGTCATGAAATCTAAAACCCTTACCCGGCTCGTGATTCGCTTTTTCCTACGTCTGCAAAACTCGAACAAGATCGGATTAGAAGTGCGTTTTGAACCAACGAAAAGAGGATTAGATGAAGTAAAATAAGACAGAGGGGTCGGCAACCAGAACAGTGGAGAGGAATTACATGGATGGAAAATGGATGTAATGAAAGGTAAATTCGACTTTCCCCTTCCGAATTTATGAATTCAAATCGGTTGTCGGATTTAACGAAATTCGGATGGAAATATTAACGGAAGGATATATTTGGTATCATGATAATAGTAAAAGGGTATGTTTGATGTGAAACATAGTAGTAGGATATGTTTGAGAAAAAACCATAATAGATAAGCAATTTATGCTACTAACCCTTCTATTATTCTTATGCTCGGGGGAAAATTTTAATTGTCTGGATTTGGGGAATGAGATAGAATGCCTACCCCTAAAATGTTGGAAAAATGACACCCCTATTAATTATAGGTTTTTAAGGTAATTAATTTGTGTTGCATTTAATAATCTGTATGAATTAAAAACACATATTAATTACTCTCCTTTTTCAGCGCACTGGTATTTGTATCAGTGCAATGGTATTAGTGTACAGGTGCAATGACAAATGTATCAGTACAATGATAGTTCCAAAAAAGAAACGTAATTAATATGAGTTCAGTATACAGGTGCAATGATAGTGGTATTAGTGCAATGGTAGTTAAAAAAAAGAATATAATTAAGATGAGTTTTTAATTTCCAAAGATTATTAAATGCAACACGAATTTAATAAAAAAATAACTATGATTAATAAGAGTGTCATTTTTCCAACCCCTAGAAAGGTTAGCGTGCTAACCGATAGCCGACATGTACATATGCAAATCACATCCAAGAGTTCATTCAACCAAAATATGCAAGCAATAACTTTTTCATTTCTGAGTTTGTGATTTTTTTATTAGAAGGAAACACAGTAAAAAGAGGGAAGGAAAAGATTTATGACGGCACCACAATTTTCTATTGTGATACAATAGTCCTTTTTCAAAGGATTTCTTTGTTTTGCAACAATAATAAAAATATTTGATTAGTTAATATACTATTAACTAATTAGTAGCAAAAAAATTAAACTTAAAAACGCAGCGCATAAACATATGAAGTGTATATTGCAATTTAACCTGGAACACAAATTCGATGTTTATGACTTTATGTACAAGTGAATTAGTACAAATAACATTTAGGGATGGTTTGGATAATGAGAATTTGAATATAGAGATTCTAACGAATTTAGAGATTTTAGCTCGTGAGATTATTTGAATACGATTATATAAAATTCAATGTTCGGTAATTATGAATACTGAAAGTATGGTAATTATGAAGTGGGAAAGCAATGGCAAAATGGAATATTGATATCATTAGCTTGGGAACGGCTACGGTGCTAATTGTACAATAGTTAGCACCGTTCTAACCAAGGGAAAAACTACTACTAGTTTGAATTAGTAGTGATTTAGCTTAGATGTTGTATTGATTTCATAATAATCCGTAGTGATTTTTGCTAGTTATCACGGTGCTAACCCCTATAGGGGTTAGCACCTAATCCCATCCCATTAGCTTTCAACACGGCATTGGCCGCATTGCATTTACGGCTGTTTTCCTTTCCTTTTCCATCCCACAAAGCAATACAAATAAATACCCTCTCTTTTTCTACCCATCAAGTCCTTCAATTTGTGCTGGTCTTACTACATCGAAACATCTTTGTTATTTCCATACGCCAATGAAATATCATCACCGTTCAACTTGTCTCCGCCGGCCGGCGGATGAAAGCTACCTCCCAGTTGATCATTTACTCGTTTGGACCACTCTTCCAATACATTTATTAGTTATTTTAAAAGTATAAAGTAGATCGAATATCCATCAAAACGAGTTTTCTTACATCGTATACTATTTTTCATTCCAAATAAATTTTCACTTAATCTAATTCGTTCCTAGTAAATCGTCGGTCAGTAGTCATTACAAGATAATTTACTCACTGTTCTTCAACTACATTTCTAATTCCAACCTCTCCGAGGTAATTCCGATTGTAAACTTTACTTTATACATGTCCAATGCAGGTGATTTTGAGCAAGAAAATATATAAATGATTAATTTAACAGAAAAAACTTATTAGTATTTTGCTGGGTTTCTTTTTGACAATCTAGAGAGGTATTAGTAAACGGTATATGATCCACAATTAAACCTTTTCCAACAATTCAAGATATTAGAATCAATTGGTTCTTTACATGGTATGAGAATCTTCTGTGGCCGTGAGATCTTTTGTTCGATTCTCGCCCATCTGTTTCTCTTTCTTAACAAGAGGAACTACTCAAATATTTACATTAATAACACTATTTTGCACAACATTATTTTACAAGGTTAGAAAATAGAAACTACCAAACTAAGTCGTTCTACTTTTACCAGGTCAGTCTACACGGTGGCCCAGGCCGATTCATTCTCGAACCAAACGCGGTCGTTTACCAGCGCCAACCCCTCTCTTCTCTTTCTCTACTGGTTTTTCCAATTTCCACTGCGACTCCGTCTCAAGGGAAAAGAACATTCTTTCTTCGTAGTAAAGGCAAACCGGGAGCAAGACGAAGAAGGAGAAGAGGCTCTCTACAAAAATGGACTCCTAGCGACCAAGCTGTAGCTCATTTCAGCAGCCATTTCTTCCATTCTCCCTTCCGTCCTTTCCCCTCTCCTTGTCTCTCTCAAACCTCTCGATTCTTCAAACCTCGTGCTTCGTCGGCGGCGGCGCGGTAGCTGGAACTCCTCGGGAGGGCAGTAGTAGGCGGCCATGGCCGGGATGAATCAGGAATCGTTCATCTACAGCTTCGTGGCGCGAGGCACGGTGGTGCTGGCCGAGTACACCGAGTTCACCGGCAACTTCCCGGCGATCGCCGCTCAGTGCCTCCAGAGATTGCCTTCTTCCAACGACAAGTTCACCTACAATTGCGACCACCACACCTTCAATTTTCTCGTCGAGGATGGCTACGGTAAACTCTAATTTCTCCAATTTCCGTCTTCTTCCGTTTTTGTTTCTAGTGGAATGATACGGATCTAGTAGTAGTGGGACCGAAACGGAGCTAGAGTTGTGAAAAATCGCCGCTGTTTCCTTCTAGAAATGCAGTGGTGGAATTGTAGTTAGCCAGTAGGGCAATTTGCTAGGTGGAAGTCTGGAAATTGGGGGTTCTTGTTGTTTGTTGGGTGTCTCCGTTGCTGGATTGGGCCATGCAATGGAAGCTCCCATGGCTTTTTCCATGCTGGATTGTTGATCTTGTTTGTTCCAGTGTTCTTTACCTTTCTCTTTCCAGTTCTTCCAAATTTGGATGGAATGGATGCTGATTCATGATGATTGATTGAACTTTCCCGCCCCCCCGAATTCGAAGATTCCTTCCATATCAGTTGTGGTAGATTTATGTGAGAATCAAAAGGGAAAGCTGAAAAGGGAGTTCTTAAGGTGGTGCTATTTGAAGGATGCTTGTTTAACTGTGCTTTGTTGTGGTGTGCTTCATGGCAGCTTATTGTGTTGTTGCGAAAGAGGCTACGAGCAAGCAGATCTCGATTGCGTTCTTGGAACGGATGAGGGCAGACTTCAAGCAAAGATATGGAGGTGGTAAAGCTGGCACGGCTATGGCCAAAAGTCTCAACAAGGAATTCGGGTATGGAAAAACCGGTGAAAATCTCATAGACGGTATCGTGAATTAGGCTGTCCAAGTTTTATAGTGTTGGTGATGTGTCTGCCGTCGTTCTTGTTTCGCAGGCCGGTTATGAAAGAGCATATGAAGTATATTATTGACCACACCGAAGAGATTGAGAAGTTGCTGAAAGTAAAAGCTCAGGTTTCAGAAGTGAAAAGCATCATGTTGGGCAACATTGACAAGGTAATATGAGCCCTTTTCTCTTGAAAGCTGTTTCTATCTGGTGGAGAACCTAAAGCTGCTATCTTCTTTTCCTTCTGAAACTAGGGTTTTCTAGTGAGTAGTGACCATCACAAATTGCAGTCAATAGAGTAATACTTAGCTATGACCTACAATCTTGCTATAAGAAGTCTCTTATTCATATGGTCATTGTAAAATGATAAAAGGAAACTCAAATTGAAATGAATCGCCACAATATTTGAAGCTCCCAGCTTGGGTCAGTGCTGCAAAAGCCATGTTTGATCAGCATTCTATCCAAACACCAAACCAATTCCATACTCTGGACATGTATCTTTTCAGGCAATCGAGAGAGGGGAGAACATAAACACCCTCGCGGACAAGACTGAAAATCTGCGAAATGAGGTAAGAAAAGATCGAGTCTTTGCCTATCTACGCAAAACTTGCCGGTTCAGTCAAGTAAAGAGCGATCCTGTTCTGCTTGTGAAATTCTTTCTAACAGGCACACACATACAAGGATCGAGGGACACAAATAAGGCGGAAAATGTGGTACCAGAACATGAAGATCAAGCTGGTCGTTTTCGGAATCTTGTTGCTCCTCGTCCTCATCATTTGGCTTTCTATTTGCCGCGGATTCAATTGCACCAATTAAGAGGAACTCCTTGTACCAATTGCCATTTTGCAAGCACTCCATGTACAGAAGAGGAAAGGAAAGTTTCTTTGTAGTCGAGAGGTTTCAGATTCCGGAGAGGCATTAACAGATAGCGAATTGAACAGCCAGCCGGCCGGCGAAGGGATGGGTAGAGTTATTCACCGGCTGGCGCGAGAGGAATGTATGGACTTCTGTGCTGTATTCTATCATCTGTCAATAATTATAGAACTTTGTTTTTTCTCTTCTGTGTCGTTTGGATGAGGAATTGTAACGGATTAATTTGACAGAATTGTCTCGTTTTGAGACAATTGTACCAAATTGCCTCGTTTGCCAGCAAAAATATGGATGGATCAATCTGCATGAGGTATTTTGAATTGATCTGTTTTGAGTCAATTTCAATTAGCTGGGGTGGGGGCAGGTAATTCGAATAGACTCGTTTTAATTGCCTCGTTTATAAAACGAGACAATTGATCAAATTGACTCATTTCTAGATTGATCCATCCAAACGACCCCCAGACTTTTTCCCCGATTTGTTTCGTGCTTGTTCTGTTTTCCCATGTCGAGGAAGTCCGATAGTTTGTTTTTGTCGTCCAACGCTTGGTGAGATTTCCTTCCATTTTTTTCCTGTTTCGATAATTCCACATCACTTGTAATATAGCAACCAAATTCTAAAACGGAAACTCTGATGATCCTGTCTACTGGATTCAATGTTGCCCTGCCTTGCCTTTCGGACTCTCTGATTCGCTGCTCGAAATCGTCGCTGTTTTTAATGATGTTTTGTATGTAAAATTAGTTATGAGGGCATTAGTTGTTTCCCATCTCAAAGATAAATTTGCAAGACATACAACTATATCATACTCGGTAGTTAAAATGCAATCAAACTATCGACGAAAGAAATGTTTTGCTGGTAGCTCTGTTAAAAATATGAGGAGCAAAATGACATGAAATAGAGGAGAAGAGAAAAAGGTAATGAATTTCCTCCTTATATTGTCATGGAGTGAGTAGTTTACTTTCATAGAGCATGTAACATAACTAGTTGTGACTCGCCACAAAATGCAACAACAATTGTTTTTGGAGATACCATCTCATAGGTCACAGAGAGCATGTAATTTTTTTTTTTACAAGAGAGAGCATGTAATTTAACAATAGAAACATCATAAATCCCATAAAAAGTTTACTAAAAACAAATAAAATCTACCTATCGCTTGAGTATCCCACAAAGATGGTTGTACTTCCTTTATTTTGCTTCATTAGTACCGACAAAGCCTTCTTGAATACCATCTCCAGAAAAGTGAAACCCGACCACTACTCTGAGGTCAGTCTCTCTCCCTGCTATCCGAGCTTTTCCAAGAACCGTGAGGTAAAAATTGAGACAATCTTAAATTACCTAACAAGGAAAATAAATCAATAGCGTGCAACCCAATCCGTGTGCGACCTAAAACAATTTGTAATTTGACGATTCGTAACTCGATTCACTCGCTCCCGATAGCAGATTGACTTGCAGCCTGAAAAACCTGCGAATCGACTATTTATCGGCGATAAAACTTGTGTATTGATATTAGTGGAATGCATCTTGATTTTTGGAAAAACAAAAATAACACGGTTCACACCCCTCAAAACAATGTTTGAACGATGATGTTTGATGTTTGTTATTCATAAACTGACCCCGTCTCGAAACCAAGGCCGATTATTTCATTACACCACGATTTCTACCCTTTGCTAAAAAGACTTTTATCCTTATATCAAACCAGCTACGTACGTACTCTCTTTGAGTCGACAACTGGCTTCAAGCACGACACATACAAACGCAACATCCAGTCAGAGAATCGCATCCCGCAAGGCAAAGACCGCAGTCGTTCACGCATCTGCCGATGCACCCATTGGGGTATTTTGCCTGGCATTTATCGTTGTCTGCATCACAGTATTCATGGTGCAGAAGCTGAGCATCATCATTCTTCCGCACCGTCGTGGAAGAGTTATTGGCATGCGGACCGCCATTATTGATCGGTGCTACATCTGGGTTTGTTGTGCTGGCTTCGGTCAAACCCAACACTAGACCTGCAAATTAAGATCAATGAGATCGAACATGCATGACCAGCAAAAGAAAGCAGGAGCATAGTAATAAGTAACTGGGATATATATATCGTGTGAGTTGATCAGTACATGGAATTAGGACGATGACGAAGGAAACCAGGAAGAAAGCCAGCTTGTTATTGGGCAGTGCCATGGCCATGATTATAAGATGTATGTTCAAGATGCTAATCAAAGTAGTTATAGTATTCTGCTATTTTAGGTAATTTTATGCATTGTGCAGTTTTGATATTCGGTATATATAGACAGACATGCTGATTATTTAATAGTTTGCGGGAGACGGATCTCTTCTAGCCTCGGTTTTCAAAACCGGATCGGAGGCCGAACCGAAAAAAATTGAGTGGTTTAGAGTTTATTGATTAACCGTTAGTGTACTGTTGATGAACTGCTGATAGAATCGTTCATGATATATAAATATACACTGGCGAATCTAGGGGGTGGCCACCCCAGGCCCCGGCCTAGCCCTCCTCTGGATCCGGTGTTAGTATAGTCTTTATGAATTTTTTCGATTTTAGACATTCGACCCCGTATTATTTTATAATAAGATTGGGTATAATTAGAAAAATGATTCAGATAAAAAAATCTAGATTTAGCCTAGAAATTTTAGCCCTAAAGATTATTCGTATAAAAAACAATTAAACCTAAAAGTCTAAAACGTAAAAGACTAGAAGATATATGAAGTTTATTTCCTTGAAAATTTAGTAATTTACTAGAGCAGCTAGAGGATATAGGGATGGACACACAATGCAAATTGATTAGTTGATTGATTTGTCTAGTGTTGACGCCGCTAGTTCCAACAGCTACTACAGAGAGAACCTTTTAACAATGAAACATGTGAAAACTGATTTGCGCAATAAAATAAGCGATGAATTTCTCTCCGATTGCTCAAGTATTTTATTTGAAACAGTGTATACTATTGGTATGGATGTGGACTCCATTATTGATGCATTTGCTAAATTAAAATATCGTTGTGTACAATTTACATTGTAAAAAAAACTATAGTCATTATATTTTTTTACGGTTCTAATTTTATAATGAAATACGACCCAGTGCTCTTCTGTGTTCTGGATCCGCCGCTGAACATATAAGACTTGTATATTACACTAATTTAAGAATGAAATTATCAATTACCATAAATAATTTCAAATTCATATCATCACTAAAATATCTAATAAATCATTCAAACAGTCTCACAAAAGAAAAAATAATTTCAAATTCATATCATCACTAAAATATCTAATAAATCATTCAAACAGTCTCACAAAAGAAATCATAATTTTTTTCATTCAAATTAAAATAGTGAACCACTGAACCAGTTAAACCGTGGTGTTTTATCTGATTTTATGTTGAACTATGAAAAATTGTTTGGTTCATTAATAACCGTCCAAACAATAAACCAAACCGCTATCATAACTGGTTTGGCGGTTCTACTGACCTGACCGTTGATCCGGTTCAATGATTCTAGCTATAACTCGTGCGCTGTGGATAAATAGTTAATTAATTGGTCTTAACAATTTGGATTAATTGCGTCTCATCTTCTCCTTGTGTATATGGCGAATGATGTTTTGTATTTGGGGTTTTGGAGCTTTGCCGCTTCTTATTTACGAAACAGTGTGTAGTTAACCGGCAATATATACTTGTGTTTCATCGGCAGCATCAATTGGAAAAAGAATTATTTTCAGAGACGTACCGCGTACGTACGTGTGTGTTGTAGCTGCCCTATGATGTTTTTACTTTTTAATTTTTACTATACCTCTACAATTGTGTTACAATGGTCATAGGCATGAGTGACCGTAGGATTGCCTACGGGAAATCATGTCATTTGGATCGAGACAAAATTATCACCACGTCGATTCAACGATCTTGATGTGTTCACTGTCAGTATTGTTTGAGTGTTTGTGAGGTTGTGTAGTTTCTCCATTTAATGAGCGTGAGTGCTTGTGGGAAAGAGAGAAAGAGATATGTTGCTCTATTCTTGTTAAGGGTTTGAGTTTCACCCAAAGGGATCGACTCAACTTGGAGTTAGATCGAAATAAGATAAGAACCTAGACACCAGGTCTCAAAGGGTGAGCCACCTTTAAGTCGAGATGTAAGCAATAGGCTTAACTCGGTTAACAAAAAATCTTGTGTACGTGTTCCACTTCTTTCTCTTTAGTCTTTAGTCTTTACTATCTTTTGATTGCTTTTAAACAGGTACACGACCTTTGCTAGTCAAAGGTGGTAGACGATCAGTGAAATGCCAAAGCCCATTTCGCGATAACCTCTTGGGCCTTAGCGAAGATTCAAGCCCAACGAGTCCAAACGATTGATTATTAATGACTCGTATTTTATTTATCTTATTTGCATGATTATTTGTGTATAACAAGTGTTATACATTTGGTACGGGAGGCGAACGAGGGCTAGCCTAGCTATAGCTGGTGAATCGACACACTTCTCATTTGTAAGGTCGTGCGTTCAATTTACATTTGATATTAGAGCAGGTCTTTGACGAGGAACAAGATCAAAGAATGGAAGCAACAAGTTCACCAGTGAGAATGATCAATGTGACAAAATCAAAGGAAAGAACAAGAACACCGAGTTTAACGTGGTTTCCCTGATCAACAGGACTAGTCCACGGGAGAGGCAGAGCTCTCCAAGCCAATCTTATTGCCTTGTTACCCAGTACATACGAGATACATGAATATATATACAGCTCTACGAAACCCTAATGACTAAGGTCTTTTAAGTACAATTACAGTGAGATACTTATACTTTCAACACCCTCCCTCAAATTGATGTTGGGTACGCAACATCAATTTGGCCGATAAGTACCAATGTCTGCTGGATGCTAATGCCTTAGTCAATAGGTCTGCTGTCTGATCATCAGTGGACAAATGATATAGATGTATCTTCCCTTCTGTGACCAGCTGTCTAATGTAATGGACATGAACCTCTATGTGCTTCGTCCTGTCATGTAGTACTGGGTTCAATGCTATCTGTATGGCACTAGTGTTGTCACCAAACAGTTTCATGGGAACATGACAATCAACGCCCAAATCACTCAGCAATCGCTGTAACCAGATCATCTCCGAGCTTACTTCAGACATGGATCGATACTCTGCTTCTATTGACGATTTAGATACTCGTTCTTGCTTCTTACATCTCCAAGAGACAAACGACTTTCCTATGCGTATGCACCAACCTGATGTGGACCGCCGAGTGTCCCGACAGCCTGCATAGTCCGCATCAGCATAGGCTTCCATAACTGCATCTCCTCAGACTGGAAAGAACATTCCAGCATCTTGAGTATGCTTGAGATATCGAAGAATCCTATGAACTGCATCTAAATGCTGTGCTCGAGCTACTCCCAGATACTGGCTAACCACCTGTACAAAATAAGCGATATCTGGCCGAGTATGAACCAGATAGATTAGACTCCCTACCAAACTGCGATACATCGACTGGTCTTCTATTAGATCTCCACCGTCTTTCCGCAACTTCACATTTTGTTCCATCGGAGTCGAGCAAGGCTTACAATCTGTATACCGCGCAGTCTCAAGAAGATCTGCAATGTACTTCTTCTGTGAAACAAAAATGCCTTGCGTTGATCTTTGTACTTCTAGTCCTAGAAAGTATGACACGTCTCCAAGATCCTTTAAGTTGAAGGCTTTATGCAGTGATTCTTTTAACTCTTGTATTCCGGCAGAATCACTTCCTGAGATGATCATATCATCCACATAGATCAGCAAAATCACCACTCCTTCAGCTGTATTCCGTACAAAGAGAGATGGATCATTTTGACTCTGTTCAAATCCCAACTGAATTACTGTACTGTGAAATTTTTCAAACCAAGCTCGTGGAGCTTTCTTAAGACCGTAAAGTGACCGAACCAGTTGACAAACCATGTCGGAAGACCCTTTAGTATAACCTGGCGGCCTCTCCATGTAAATTGTCTCTTTAAGATCGCAATGCAAAAATGCATTCTTTACGTCCAACTGAAAAAGTGGCCAACCTTTCATCGCAGCAACCGCAAATATACAACGTATTGTCTGCATTTTTGCGACTGGTGCGAACGTTTCATCATAATCTATACCGTATTCTTGGAGAAAACCGCGAGCTACTAACCTTGCTTTAAATCTCTCTATAGTGCCGTCTGGGTTCATCTTTATTGTATAAATCCATCTACATCCAATGACTGACATGCCTGGTTGTCTAAGCACCAATTTCCACGTACCATTTGCCTCTAAAGCTTCTGTTTCTTCCACCATTGCCATGCTCCACCTTGGGTCTTCACAAGCTTGTTCATATGTTGCTGGGATCCCACATGGTTCTACTGCATACCCTTCATAATCGAGTAGACGAATGGGGGGGACATCCCAAGTTTGCTCGACTTGATCTGCGGGGATGCTGTTGACCATTTTCAATTTCATTAAACCCACCATGAGCGCCATTTTCAATTTCATTAAAGCCACCATGAGCGCCATTGTGACTCCCATTTCCAGAATTACCAGACTCACTACCTTCCTCCGATGTTGGCGAGTTCCCATGCTCTCCCGATGGTGAACTCGAACTCGAGCTTGAGCTGCTCGACGCAGAGTTGGAGGAGCTGGCCCTCCCTGAAGTCGAGCCATGTGTACTGGAGCTAGACGAGGCCGGGCTGAGCGAGCCTCCAGGCGAATGATGCGAAAGCTCAGAGTCCGTCCCTCCCTGAGTTCCCATCGGAATATGTGGAGAAGCATCAAAACTTGGCATTGTCATCAACCAATCAAGACAAGTGGAAGTGGACGGTTCAGAACCATCCCCAGAAGATGACGAATAATACATTGTGTCCTCAAGAAAGAACACATGATAAGCTATGCGCATTCGCTTCCCGGCGGGATCATAGCAACAATAGCCTTTATGTCGGTCACTATATCCCAGGAACACACACTTGACGGCCTTGGGAGCGAGCTTATGGCGATCCTTCCTGGGCAATAGAACAAAACAAGTGCAACCAAAGACGCGTAAGAACGAGTAATCGGGTGACCGAGTGTATAAAACTTGATATGGAGAACACTGATCCAGCACAGGAGTAATCTGACGATTTATGAGGTAAACAATCGTGTGAACTGCCTCCACCCAATAGCCACTCGGAACTTGAGAATGAAACAATAGAGCACGTGTAAGTTCCAGAACATGCCAGTGTTTACGCTCTACCAAACCGTTTTGCTGCGAAACACCCGGGCACGAGAGTTGGAAAATAATGCCCTCAGACTTGTAAAAGTGCAGCAACTCATGTTTCGTGAATTCGCCACCCTCATCCGACCTAAGAACTTTGATTGTTTTGCCAAATTGTGTTTTGATAAGCTGCACAAATTCTTTAGCAATAGAACACAATTCAGACTTTTGCCGAAGGAAGTATACCCAAGCATATCTCGTCTTGTGATCAATAAACAAGGCAAAATATTTGAAACCCAAACGTGAAGTGACTGGCGAAGGACCCCACAAGTCTGTATGAACTAGATCAAAGGGTTCAGCATACACACTCCCACTAGGCGAAAAAGAACTCTGAGAAGCCTTAGCTTTAATACAGCTAACACAATCAGAACGAGTTCCAAAAGACGAATCAACCTTGCTAGGCAATAAATTCCGACGAAACATAGTCAACAATCTTGCAGAATGTAAATGGCCCAACCGATAGTGCCATAAATCCCAAACGGCCTTGTTCTTTAAACTAACAGAACAAACAGAATTGGCAGACACATAATCGAGTAAAGAACTACTAGTCTTAGCGCCAGGAACGAGCGAGGTATACGCCTTCTGCTCACGATCAGCACCATGAATCTTAGGGAGATCGCCTAGCTCATCCAACACAAAGACCTGTCCTTGTTTACTTCCTGTCCCAATCACCATCCCCGTCTTCTGGTCCTGTACCACACAACCGGCGGAATCAAACTTAACATCACAACCATGTTCAGTCAACTGCCCGACAGACACAAGATTAGGTAGTAAACTCGGAACATATAAGGTGTGCGGAAGAGTGATCAAGCATGTCGAAGAAGTACCCCTACCAACCGCGGCAACCTGATCCCCATTGGCGACTCGCAGATGTATATTCGAGACAGGCTCGATCTTATCAAAAGAACTACGAACATGTGTCATGTGATTAAACGCACCGGAATCTAATAACCATTTTGAAGACTTACCGGAGAGAGCACCTGAGGCAAAAGCTGAAGTGAGAGCTTGCGGTAAAGCCTCTTGTAAGGCTTCATGAACTAGTTTGCGAACAAACTCCGGTGAGAAGGCCGAACTTCCACCACCCAAACGCGGAATGCCGGGCGCCATTTCTGGAGAGTCAGCAACAGCATATGCAGCGCCTGAGGGTTTATATGAGGCTCGGCCTGTGGAAGAGGAGTCAGTAGTCCAGCCAGTCGAAGAACCATAGTTAGGAAAGCGAACCTTCCCTCGCTTAACCAGTGGAGGGCACTCGAGAACAATGTGACCCTCCTTCTTACAATAATTGCAAAAGTTTCATTTCTTGCAATGTATCTGAACATGTCCATGTTCATGACAATGATGGCAAATTAACTCACCACCAGATGGAGTGCCAAATCGTGGACGCTGAGAAGCTCCAGCGCGGCCAACTGCGAACGCCGAATCCGAGGGTTGATTGTCGATACGGGACTGACTGTTCAGTCTTGTTTCCTCGCGTATGAGGTCAGCCACCACTGCATCCAGATCAGAAATCCCCCGATGAATTAAGGAGGCACGGATTGGCTCGAATTCAGCTCACAATTTCATGAGAAAGTGCATCACTCGAGTCCGCGATCGTTCCTTCTGCACGTCAGCGGAAGCATCGCCAGACAACAATGAAGCTGTGACCAAGTCATACTCGGTCCATAGGTGTAGAGCATGTTTGTAATAGCCTCGTACGCCGCGATCACCCTGAGATAAACCAGCCAATTCCAATTCAAGTTCATAGAGCCGAGAGGGGTCAGCTTGAGAGTATGTACCACATATATGTTTCCACATCTCATGAGCCGTGCGGAAACGTCGGAGACTAAGCGCTGTTTGTACATCCACAAACCCCAATAACCAAGTAATTATGCGAGCATTAGAGGCTGCCCAGTCGGTCCTCTCCTTCTCGCTAGCCTCCGCAGCTGGCTGCTTCAATTCGCCTGTCAACACAGACGATAACCTTTGTCCTTCTACATAGTTTCTGAAGTGAAACTCCCATAGTGGAAAATTCTTTCCATCGAACTTAACCGAGACGGCATCCATCTTGGTAGAATCCATACTTACTTAGCTTGAACAAAGAGCACAGTCGGAACAAGGAAACAAACCTGAGGGTACACCTGACGTCGACGGAAAGGGTGTACACAGCTGCTGAATAACAAGACTGCACACCGCCACCACCGAAGAACAAAACCCTAGCCAACAACAGAAAACGAAGCCCTATCCAACCGATGCATCAAACCAATCAAAGCAATACCAGTCCTTGAATCAGAGAGGCTCTGATACCATGACAAAATCAAAGGAAAGAACAAGAACACCGAGTTTAACGTGGTTTCCCTAATCAACAGGACTAGTCCACGGGAGAGGCAGAGCTCTCCAAGTCAATCTTATTGCCTTGTTACCCAGTATATACGAGATACATGAATATATATACAGCTCTACGAAACCCTAATGACTAAGGTCTTTTAAGTACAATTACAGTTAGATACTTATATTTTCAACACAATGAGCCACCCAGAGGCGGATACATGAGGCTTTAGGGGTGTCCCGGGACACCCCTAAAATTGGGGAAAACGAATATCCAACTTTCAGTAGTAGTTTCGTAAGGATATAAAAAATTTATTATTGGTAATCCGGGACACCCCTAAAATGATTATCTTACCCTCAGTAGTAGTTTACGTATTTTAAAAAATATAAGTGGTAGTTTGTGTTGTTCAAACCTAGGACACTACTATATTTCAACATTATTCTCCATTAGCTTGCAACTCATTTGTTGTTCTATTTTAAAAACTACGTTATAGTAAAAATTTTATTCCTTATCCCCAGGGGCGGACTCACCTTTGACCAAGGTCTGTCACCTGACACACCTTGGTTCGAAATCTTTGTGAAGAACCCACAAATTTTTGGTGTAAAAAATACGAATATGGGACCTCTGGCACACCTTCAATAATTGTAATCGACACACCTTATTACGTTACAAAAAAAAATTATTGTCATAATACTATTAAAATATGTAAATATAGTAGTTATCAGACTTCAGATTAGGTAGTTAATTAGTTGGTTGCACAAGAGTAAACAATTAATTGACTACTTAGTACATAATGAGTATTTAGAAAGATAGCTATCACCTTAGAGACAACATCGATAATTTGAATGAGAATTAAATTTGATTAATAAGCTGGGTGAGTCAAATAATTAGATAGTGAATTACAGGCTGTCTTTCTCCATAGCTTCTTCGATAGATTTTTCTTTAAGTTAATTTTCAACTTGCTTTCTAGTTTAGTTGTTTCTTTCCACGTTGACGCCTGTAGCCACCCTTCAATTATCGGCATCGAGCCAACGTCCTCATGCTCATTCAAATTTCCACGTTGACACATGTGGCTACCATTCGAGCTTCTCATACCAAATTTCTCATCTTAAATTAGTATTGACTTTACCTCTTGCAACTGAAAGCTACAAAATGACATTTTCCATATATGAGTTTAATGAAGAACAATCTTTGGTATAAGTTGAGTGACCAGTTTATGAATAATTGTTTCATTTTGTACATAAAATTATTTGTTTTGCAACCTAATGGACAATGCAATTAAGAAACCTTTAAGAATATGAAAAAACGCCGTGGTTCACTGTAATAAATAATGAAATTGGTGAAATTTATGAATACATTTTTTTGATTATTTTAAATTAATTAATTTATTAACTTTGATTAATTTATTTTTAATTCTATTTTATTGGTCGACACACCTATTCCAAAATCCTGGGTCCGCCACTGCTTATCCCCAACTATTTCCAAAATATAACAATTAAACTAATTACGGGATACCCTTAATTTGAATTGATTTTATGGTTACACGTCAAGTGTTTAAAGATTTAAAGAGTCTTTTCAACTTTGAGTTACATAAAAAATAAGGATAGAAATCGAATATGCGATAAGTTCGTGAATTATTGTCTAGTAGAATATACAGATTTGTTGAGCAGTGTACCGAATCTATTTCATTTTCTTTTCTCGGAATATGAAAACACGTCCTGGATCCGCAAGCCATCAGCCTCCGATCACGCAAGCTGAAGGAAATTGGGCACCAAAATTCTATGGTAATGGCTATTGCCTTTATGGTTATAATGAAATTGCATAAAAAGAACGATGTGGTAACATTTTGAAGAAAATTAAGGATTAATTAACTAATCGTCGTTCTATTTATATCATCTCCAATGCAAAATACTTAAATGCCGTTTTTTTTTTTGGCTAGATTTGGCATTCTAGCATCAGAAAAAGTGATTTTGCTCCAATTGGGGAAACTAGAATTTCAGATCCCTCAAGTTGCACATTTCTCATAAACCGTTGAATGTAGATTTTATCATTTATTTACATAATTTGATTATTAATTATGTACTTATAATCATGATTAATTAAAACAAATATTTTGATATAATATTTATTAATTTAGAAATATTTTTTATTACTAAACATGACGTCATCCATTCCGAAATAATTGTTTCGTATTCTT